TGGTCATTTCGTTGTAACGATTCCGTTAAAGGAATCGCCGCAATAGCTCGGTGATTCATACGAGCAAGCCTTATCTAGATTTATTTCACTAGAGCGTAGATTTAAACGCGACCCATTATTCAAACAACACTACACACAACTCATTAACGAATACAACACTTTAGGTCACATGACTGAAAACATAACATTAGAGAAAGATGATTATACATACATTATGCCACATCATGGTGTAGTGCGTGAAACAAGCTTAACAACCAAGCTAAGAGTTGTTTTTTGACGCGTCTGCTGTGACTACGTCTGGTTCATCTTTTAATAATATTCATAGAGTTGGCCCTATATTAATTCGATTTCGACAACACAAGTGTGTGGTGATAGCGGACGTCGAAAAAATATATCGCATGATAGAGGTGGATGAAAAACAGCGCCCTCTGCAACAAACACTCACCACCACCACCACCAGCGTTTTTACGTCCCCACTGCAGGGGCTCAGGCCTTCCTTATGGATGGTTAAGGAGGATGGGCCATGACCCTCCACGCTGGCCCAATGCGGATTGGAGAGTATTAACGACTGCAAATGCAGCCGGGACCAACGGCTTAACGTGCCTTCCGAAGCACGGCGTAGCTCGAGATAATATTTTTTTTGGTCACCCATCCCGTGACCGACCCTTGCGAAAGTTGCTTAACGACTACGATCGCGGGTCGCGGCGCTTATCCACTACGCCACCGTGGGCCAGCGTGGAGGGTCATGGCCCATCCTCCTTAACCATAAGGAAGGCCTGAGCCCCTGCAGTGGGGACGTAAAAGGGCTGATGATGATGATAATGAAGACATATGGCATCGCTTCTGCGCCTTATCTTGCCACTAGATGTTTGTATCAACTTGGCAAAGAATGCAATGATGAGTCAGTAGCTAATTGCATTATTAATGATTTTTGGCGATGACGATGACTACATCAGTGGCCATGACAATGCTAATCAACTGATACATATTTGTAAGGGTGTCATAAATCAACTTGAAAAGCGGTAAATTTAATTTAAGAAAATGGCATTCTAATAATCCCGAAATAATTCATAAACTTATAAGCGAGAGCAATGGTGACGAATTACTCAATTTAAGCAATTTTAATTATTCGAAAACATTAGGTTTATTATGGGATAGTAAAGAGAATATTCTATTATTTTGAATTGATTTTATACATAAATCGTTTTATTCATAACTGTAGATATCCTCTCACAAAACGCACCGGTTATTTAACTATACATGAACTTAATATATCTATGCGGACTTTATGTAGAATGTCACAATTAGAAACTTTCGCAAATGAATATAGTTTACTCAAGAATAAAAATTATCTTCAAAACGTAAATTCATTCATCTTTCGCCATTTCTGGATTCGTAAGACCTTATGCGTGTGGGTGGTAGGTTATCAAACTCCTATTACGGTTTTGACATTAACATCCTATATTATTACACGCACATAGTCATTTAACAAAGCTTATATTTAGATATTACCACAAATTACTTTTACATGCTGGTCCACAATTACTGCTTGCAAATGTCCGTCATAAATTTTGGATAATTAATGGTGGAAACCCAGCAAGAAAAACAGTACATAACTGTATAATATATTGTCGCTTCTCAGGTCGAATAAAGCAGCCAATTATGGGAAATCTTCCTAAACAACGCGTACATGCTGAGTATCCATTTTCTAACACCGCGGTTGACTACGCAGGTCCAGTCATGGTATTGAATCGAAAGGGTAGAGACAGTAAACTTATTAAAAGCGTATTTATGCATTTTTGTGTGTTTGGCGGTCCGTGCAGTACACATAGCACTCGTAAACGATTTGAGTTCTGAAACATTCCTTGCTGCGCTCGATAGATTTATCGCTCGCAGAGGAACGCCTGTTAGCATTAATTCAAATAATGGTACATGTTTTATAGGCGCGTGTAATGAACTTGCTAAATTTATAAAATTGAACATTGAACGTATCGGATCATATGCTTCAAGTTTATAAATACAATTTAACTTCTCGCCAGCCAATAGTCCACATTTTAACAGATTAGTTGAGGGTGCCGTGAAATCAGTAAAATATCATTTGAAAAGAATCTTAGCCAACGCAAACCTCACATATGAGGAAATGAACACAGTTCTAACGCAAATTGAAGCTGTTTTAAATTCTGGGCCGTTAACACCTCTATCCTCTAATCCTTCTGATTTAGCAGCCCTTACTCCTTCACATTTCCTTATTGGACGAACTTTAATGGTCTTGCCATGTCCAGAGACTCAAGACATAAAGAAATTGAATTCTCTATCTCGTTATAAAAGAACACAAGAATTAAAGGCGCACTTCTGGCATCGATTTTGTAATGAGTACATCTCTGAGCTACAGAGACGACAGAAACGGGTGAAGGATGGCGGACAACTAAAAGTTGGAGAAATGGTTCTCGTCAAATATGACAGACTTCCACCGAACAGATGGCTCTTGGGTCGAGTCACCAGCATCTATCCAGGCGCCGATGGTGTGGCCCGAGTTGCAGACATTAAAACTTCTACAGGTACCTACTATACGAAGAGCATACAATCGCTTGTGTCCGCTTCCGATACTGAACCAACTTCAAGCACCAGCTGCAGCTGATTAAAATCAAACTACAGTTCCTGTTTCCGGGGCGGCAAGATGTTGACGCCTACTAGTGTGTCCCAGCACTAGCACACGGCGGTTGGAACACAACGTCGTCGCGAACGTTTTGAAGACGTCGACCACTCGGCCAGCCAGCGCCGCGCACGACGTTAGCAGCACGCATTAATATAATAATGTAGTCACCGTCACATTCTGTATCTGTATCTTCAATTTACATCGAGTAAACATCATATTAACAATCAGCACATCTTTTTTATTCAACAATACCTCCCTATTCACAAACTCAAAATAAAAACCGTAATCCAAACGTGGACTTAGTTTATGAGTGTTATACGTATAATACAACCATATTACTTATATAAAACACTGTAAGCTCCCCAAACAAAATAAAATAAATTGAAAGATATATTTAATATTATATTAAAAATAATAACTACCAGCGCTCTCCTTTATGCTTATTTAAATACAGGCGCCGAAATTTCCTATTTGATGAGCATATTCTTTCAACGGCGAATTAAAGTCAATAACCTTTTATTGAAGCCTTAAAAAATTGCTCATTAAACCGTTTTTCCCGAATAACAAATCATTAATGCTAAAACTTTCAAAATGGGTAGGCACAGTCAACTAATTAGATCTCTAGGTAAACTCCAGTAAATTCACTAACTTTCCGAATATTATTTTAAAATCTATTGTTCGTTATCTAAAGTAAAACTGATACATTATTATACAAAATTCGATACATTATTTCGTAATGCGTATGATATCCACTCATCTGGATATAAAATAAGAAGATATCTGAAATCGGATAAAGGTCATTTTCTTTATCGAACCAGCCGTAAATCAATGCCAGGACCTTAGATGTTGCGACAGCTTAAAACCTGCCCGCGTAAATACTCGTAGTAACAAATTCATCCGCGCATGATGTAACTTCCCGTCGGTGTAAGAATTTTTGCAATATGCAAATAACGCAGTTTTAATCTAAGTCGCCAAATATATTATTAGAACTGCTGTACAAACACATTTCTTTGAATGATGAAGAGAAGAAATACTGCTATGTTCATTATTAAATGACCTCATTTCGTAGTTTAGAACATTTTTTTGTAAAAATGATCATCAGAACAGAGACGACTACACGACGACGAGTGAATAAACTTATAATATCGATTGCTACAGAGGAGGGATGTACCTAATCAAAAACTGTGTTTGAAAATAAGTCATACTGCACATTGTTGGGTAAAGTATTGGCTAGGAAAGTAATACTAATGCTTTATAAAAGAGCTGTATCCTGAATTCTTCAACAACTTTTTTCATGATGCACTGTAATTATTTCGAATACGGAAAATAGTTTGCAGTGAAGTTCTTTATACCTATGTTATAGTCGCTGGTACATGCCTTATGGCAGCAGTTTTCAATTCTATCCGTGATGTAAGCTTTCGTTTCACATTTTTTAAGATAAGTCTTATTTGTATGGAAGTTGTAAGAGATATTGTAATGCACTTGAGACGCTATTCTATGTCATCGAACGAAAATACAAAATATTTCAAATTGTTCTTACAATTTTGTTAAAATCATATCCTGAAGATTATCAATAGAGGTCCTATCTGCGTTCCAATATAAATTATAGGGAATTGCCGAATATAGATAAGTAGATAAAATCGGAATCAACCGCATTTCGTTAAAAAGATAAACGATCTCTCAATCATCGCTTCGGAAGCGTATAATGCCATCCGATTACTTATAGGACCAAAGCTGTGATTTATATTATATATTTCTACATCTAATGATTAAAGATACCATTAGATAAGTTAAAAAATAATTCGTGGCTGTATGAACAAAATTCCTTTGTTTTCTATAAAATAATAGATGTGTACATTACTGATAATATTAATAGTTGAATCGATTATAAGTCCCTACGATGGTGCCGACTGAGTCATTACATTCGCTAAAATATGGTAAAGCGAACGGATGGCTGATCTATACATTATGCTCGTAAATGATTGCTTCTAGACAAAATGAGTCTGCTCTAAATTATTTAATTTGTCTACTTTCTTGGTTTAAGTTGAGATGATTTTATTTGTCTCGGCATGCAAATCGATTGATAAGTGAATTATTATTTTCTGTTAATATTTTTTAATATTTAGATGGCAAGTAACTCTATAGTATAATGAAGTCACTTTTCGATTAAATATATATATAAAAACAGGAATAAGTTAGCAGTACTTGCTCTTGCCATAATTAACGAACCGATGGCATAAAGTTTCAATAGAAAAATCAATCTGAAGTAAAAAATTAATAATCGTAAACAGTTATTAATATATTTTCGATTCTCGATTTAACGACTACAAACGTCCCTAGTGTCAAATGTCAATGTTTTTTCGTCACAGTATTTTTACCTAGCGTGGGGTTTTTAGTTTAGTACGATCTGAAATTAATCTTTTTCTACAAAAGTAATGATTGGCTATTAGTTTATTGGTGATCTATTCGCATAGCAGTGAATATTCTCAAAACATGGCTGATCCAACCGACATCAGCATCCCACTGCATACGATTGAAGCTGATTCTTCTCAGATACACGGACATGAAGGTAAATAAAGCTGTTTATTTTCTCACATGAAATTGTTTATTTATGGACATTGAATGTATGACTGAATCTATGCATTTGTGATACAAATCAAACTACTACGGTTAAGAATGGAAACAAAATTATCACAGAAGCTTGTTTGTGCAGACATTTGTATATCACATAGTATATTAAGTCCTTACATATAAAATTGGTGTTTGGTATGGGAGGCACAAAAAGTCGAATAATTTTTAATATAATATATTTATTTGAGCAAAGTATAAACCATTGTAATCTATCCACTTTCCCATCTCAAAGGTAGTTCATTGATCCCCTTACTAAAAAAACCATTCGTTTGGGAATCAATAAATTGCACTGCCCCATCGAAGTTGAGTTTTTTCCCTTGTAAGAAGTTATCCAAATTTTGACAAAAATGGTATTCTGTTGGAGCAAGGTAGTGGGAGTACGGTGGATGTCTTAGACATTCCAATTAACGCTATTCTAATTTGGTAGCCGTCTGTTGTGTAGTGTGTGGTCAAGCATTGTCATGAAGTAGCAGTGGCCTAGAGTGATTGACCAGCCTTGGTTGTTTTACAGCTACTTTTTCCAGCATGGTTTGCAATTGCTGTCAAAAGACGTCTGGCGTAATTGTCTGGCCAGATTTGAGAAAACTGTAATGAATGACACCAGCACTAGTCCACCAAACGCTTACAAGTAACTTTTTTGTGGACAATTTTTGCTTGAGGCAGGATTGTGTTTCAATCATTGCGATGAATGCTTCCAATTATCATAGATAATCCACTTTTCATCACAGGTAATGATTCGATTTAAATACCCTTCATTATTGTCCTGGTTTAGTAATGTAACGCAGCAGTCAAAGCACGTTTGCCGGTTTGCTTCACTCAATTCGCGAGGTACCCACCTTTCAAGCTTTTTAATCTATCCAATTTGCTTCAAGTGGGTTAAAACAATTTAATCACTAACACTGCACCAAATCGGACGTGATTTGCGATGGATCCACTTCCACAGTAGCCTTCAATTCTTTATTATTAACTTAGGTCTCCGGCCGTCTACGGGGCTTGTTCTGCAGGTCGCAATTTCCAGAACAAACACATTGGAAACAAAAAAGCACTGCTTTTTCTTTTGCGACTCAACCGCCATACACATCATTAACCCTTTCGAGCCGTTTACGCAGCACTGGTACCATGGTACTTGTATTCGTAAATAACATGATATTTCAAGGTCCTATTTACATCACCCATTTTTTTAAACTGGGTGATGTAAATAGAACAAACAGAAGAAAAAAAATCAAATGTATAAATTTTAATTCCCAACCAAGAAGGAAAATTTTGTGATTTAAGTGGCCAGTACGACAAAATGCCAATTTCATATGTAAGGACCTAATATTTGATATACATAATTAGTTGAAGTAAATGTTGAGAATATAGATTATATGTATAATTATTCCTCTTGAATTATGCTGCATATTGACGAAAACCACATTTAAATCTTATGTAGTTTATAAGATCTCAGTGTACAAACAGCCAGTAGCTACTTTTTTCCTGTGTAGTAATGAAAAGTCAGATTTCAGATTATTTATGAAATGAACAAGGATAGAAAGAATTAACACTAAGTTGCCTATTTTTCATGCAGATTTTGTAATTTTGCCTCTCTTGTTTAAGGAAATGCTAAAATAAGAGTAATTGCAAACTAAAAAAGATAAGAATACTCATCAATATCTTGCTGCAAGACTAAATTTCATTACATTTGTATTTGTAAATGTGCGAAACCATTCAAAACTGGTTTCATTTAAAATGCTTGCTTGCCCATTTACATGTTACTGTATGAGTTTTGTTTACCACTAGTAAACACAGGGCAAGCAAGCATTTAAAAAAAGTGCATGTGACAATATAAGAAATCAAAACTAAATTTATTTTTAATACATGAGTATAGTAATGATAATGTGTGATAAGTATAGTTTAAACATGAGTATAAAGAAGAGATGCCTGACATAGAATTCAAATCTATAACTTAATCAACTTGGATGATTGCTTTAAAAAAAAAATATTGTGAATATTGTAGATTACTATGACAACTAAATAAAAATTACAACAAAATCACCAGTTACAATTGTTTATGATTAAAATAGTAATACAAGTCATGTTACAATGTACATACCCTACAGCATCATCAAGTGCGAACCCTGACGATGGGGCATCAAGTAGTTCAGCTACACCTGCAGGCAGCGAGGGACAAGCATCCAGACAATCAAACCTTCAGCGAATACAACAACGCAAGGAGCAAGTGTATAATTGGCCACATAATAAAAAGCTACTAAAGCTCGCCATTTACTCTGCATGTCAAGTGAGTGATTAAGTATTTTTTTTTTTAATATGCTATCCTCATAACTGAAAATACTAATAGTCGTTCACTAAAATTTGGTTGTTACTGACCATTACTATATAATGTCTTAGGCACATATATAAATGTGTCTGTAAAAGTGAAACCAACGACAACTTCGTATAAAATTTGCTATTTTTATGTAACTGAAGTGTATAAAATGTAATAAATTTTGACTTCCTTCAGTTCTCTGGTACAGTACACTGTCAGTCTAGTATAGAACTTTTTGAGTATTTTTAATATTTTCTTGATAGTTTGTACAAAATTTCACAAGTTTTTTTTGGTGAAACATTATTATCAAAAATTTATAAATAAGTTGTGACAACTAATAACATGTTATGTTACATTTTACAGACTCCAGATTGCGTTTGTAATGGATGGAAAACTCCAGTTACTCAGCAAATCGTTAAAAATAATTCACGTGTTGACAACCAACCGTTGGCCAGTTTCAGTGACCCTTGTCGCAACTGCAACCACATATTAGGTGAGTTTATAAACAAGTTTTGTTATTGATGATTTTGCTATACATATATGAAATAAGTACTGTATGTGGATGACCATAATATTTATTATAGTAGTTAAAAAGGTGTCAGTTATTTTGGTTTAAACATAAATGGAGAAAATTTTATCTTTTGAGATTCGCAGATTATCTGATCACTTTAGAAGAAACTGTGATTGAAAATGAAATTTGATATGTTAATATTTTTTTTAAACATGTTTTATTGGTTTTTCAGAAAAGCATGTGACTCAACTACAAACCCTGCCTGTGGCAGAGGTAAACAGACTGCTGGGAGCAGTGGTTGATGTGGAGAATATATTCATGTCTATGCACAGAGAAGATGACCATGACACAAAAAGAGTTTACTATTACCTTTTTAAAGTATGTTAATATCTATTTCTCAATTGCGCGAGGGTGCTAATACCTGTCCCCAATTAAATTAAATCTAAACTTTTTATGTTATTAAAATAAAATAAAAGGATAATAGGATAAACTAAAATAATAAGGATAAACTAAAATAGGATTTGAACCACTATGTCATTTAATTATTGACTTTAATGAAAACAATAATTTATTTCTATTGATGAAAAATTAGAACTTTGAAAAATTAAAAACGAATAGCACTCATAGAGTATATTTTCTTACAGCTACTTCGCAAATGTATCTTAACACGTTCTCAGCCACGTATCGAAGGCCCTCTAGGACAACCTCCATTCGAGCGACCTTCAATAGCTAAAGCGATCACAAACTTCGTACTGTACAAGTTCCATACGCTACCTCAGAGAGAGTGGCAGACCATGTACGACCTGGCCAAAATGTTTCTGCATTGCTTCAATCATTGGAATTTTGAAGCTCCGAGTGTGAGGAAATTGGTCTGTATTGTTTATTTTTATCATACATTTGTAGGTTTTCGTGACTCATAGGGAATTTTCCTTGGATTAAGAATGTTTAAAGTAGAAGTATAAAAAGGTATTAGAACTTGCAATACCAACTGAAAATTAAAAGTACCAAATCCTATCCATATTTTGTTATGATGAGCATTACCGACTCATGTTATATTATTTACAGCAAGTATCAAATCCAGAAGATGTATCAGCATACCAGGTTAATTTCACAAGGTTGGTCTCAATATTTTTTTATAAAATTGTGCTTTGCTTTATCTGTGCAATAAGTCTTTATTGTATACATATAGTTCAAAAATTGAAACTTCAATAATATTTGCAAGCTTCCCGTGAGTTTGTCCATGTAAATATGTAACCTATGTGACCCGCTATTATTTCGCTTAAGTGTTTTTTTCTTTAATTAATTGTTCCAGTATGTTGTAGTATATTCAATGAAAACAAATTAGTGTAAATATAAATTAAACTCTCATCTCATAGCTCAAAATGACACGCCATATTTCAAATTAATACGAGTATTTGGTTATTATCAAACCATTTTTTTGTATTCTCTGAGAAAAATATCACTTACCCATATTGATATATCTAAAATGAATAAAATGCATTGTTTTTCATATCCTTTAATATATTTTATTGTGTGTTTAAATTGACAACTATTTCTTTCAATACAGTATTCAATTAGGTATGTTAAATTGTCTCTATGGCTGGATTCTCCCATTCATCATACAGATTTTGTTTCCAAATCCTTTACTCTGACAGCTATTCGCCTTTGGAATGATCTCCCAGCTCATATTAAAACTGCTCAGAGTAGAATGATTATTAAGAGATTGGTGCATGAGCACTATCTTCATATGTAATTATCTCATATGCATTCTGTATTGTATTTTTTTAAATGTATATATTTATATTTTATCTATATTTACATATTTGTATGATGTATTATGCTTTTATTAATTTGTTTATATGTAATAATTTTTTGGCCACCGTTTTTGTTTATTCTTATCACCTAACATCCTGACTCCAACATATTTTTCTGGTAGTCTGGCACAGAATGCCTTTGGCATTAAGACCACTTTTTGGGTTAAATTCAATAAAGAATAAATAAATTGCATTTAGACATTATGTTTCATAGTGTCATTGGCTGTTTAAAACTTACACAATACTATATTAATATAAATATTAAACATTATTTTTGAAAACATTGATGTTTGATTCACTAATTAAAAACTACTTTTTTAAGTATGAATTCAGTTTTACTTGACTATAAAATAGATGATATGGTGCCTAAGAATTCATATGTCTTACAGTTTCTCACTTTCTCATACTGATTATTATAAATGTTAATACTAAAGTATTTTATAAATAAAAATATGTAATTGAATAGATCAACAAAAATATTTTCCCAATTTACCAAAGATAATTGAAATTGTATGTGCCACCCTTTCTACCTAACCCCCCTTCAATGAGGATTATTGTAAAAAGTGCGATAATCGTCCAGATGGTTGGTGTTCTGCCACGTGCCAGCGTTCTGTGACTCATTACCGCACTACGAGACATCGCTAGTGTTCGGTCGGACTCTCCTGCGCGCCGTGTTCAAGTCCGTGTGCAGACAGCTCATGGACAAGTGTCACTCGGAGCGGGACAGGATGCCGCCTGAGAAGAGGGTGAGTTGGAATCACGTACCGGTTATTGTGGAACCGGTTAATTTTTGAAACGGTTTTGTTTTCCCGGTTATATTTTGTGTTCCTTTTTTGAAGAGTAATAAAAAAAAGAGCTATAAAAAAATGTGAGGAAATCAACTATCTCAGATGCTCGAGATGGAATTCAAATCCATTGTCTTTTTTTTTACCGATATTCTAACTAATCTACCTAAGATCATAACGAGAATTCCTCATATAAATGTCGCAATTACACGATATGTTATATGAGAAATTCATAGTCGATGGGCTGCGAACCAGTTTAGAACTTTCAGGGTTGTATCAAATCTAAGATTGAACTTTTCTATATTGATGACCCTCGTAATTTCCAACACTTAGTTTGCAGGGTTTCTTATAGTTATAATTTATTAATAATGTTGTTGTCGACAGGTACTAGTGTTAACTCACTTCCCTCGATTCTTGGCGCTTCTAGAGGAAGAAATATTCAGCACAAACTCGCCCATATGGGATCCAGACTTCAAACAAATACCGCCGAACCATTTACAAGCGATTCTTGATCAAAAACCGGGTGAGTGGTTTTTTAAGTGCTGGTTTCGCGTGCACATTATGCTTAGTGTGAAGTTTTGCATTTGATGATTTTATTGCAACGGTAGACATGAAATCAACACGTAAGTGTACTAAAAATGCGACGGCACGTCACATCACTACAAATTACCGAACTTTTCTGAAGATATTGAGCCTTAGCTGTTTGGAGTAATTTAAATTTTATTGCAGATTTTGATCTAGTTTTGTATAACATGGCGTGCTGCTGTGCGACATACATTTAAAGTACTCAGCAATATATATCGTATATAGACCAGGGTTGTTGCGAATATCAGCATCAGCATCTGCATCCGCATCATTCACTGATATTTAACTTGTAACGCGTTCGTTGTAGGCACATAACCTTTTTTCCTTGTTCTATGGTTGAAGGCTATACCGAGTGCAACTCACCGTGTAGTTATAAAGAAAGAAATTTGTGGGTGAATTGGTAGTAACACTATCTAGCGTGGATAACATTCAAAGTGTTACCCGCGCTATTGATTTTAAAGTCTATGCAATGCATTTGTGTTTTATTCGAAATAGCATACAACATTTCGTAATCTTTTTTTAGTATGATATATTTTATTGAAGTAATTTATTTATATCAGAATAAGCTTCCGCTAGTATTGATTTAACTAAATCATCATCAGCATCCGCTGATACAGTAAAAACCCGCATCAGCAACAACCCTAATATCGACCTTTGGAAAGAGACAGTTGACTAATATCGGCTTCATAGAGCTTCATCTCTATTACACGCACGAAACATTCGAGCATTCCGTTATTTATTACAAGCTTTTAAAATTGTTAGCAAGTGGTAATGTATTGCAATAAGCGGATGTACTCAATCCAAAGGTCGATCTTTAACATGTATCTCCGGGTACTGTAGACTTAACTAGATAAACTAGACTCAGATAGATAAAGATTGTTTAATTACATCTAAGTTATAATAACCCACAAAATATGAGTTTCATTCAGTAGCATACGTAGTAGCATATTTCAAACTAATATGCTGAAATTTAAATTTAAATTCAATCGTAGAAATGTTACAGGAACCAATGTGTTTATAATGATGTCAGAATGATGACGGACCGTATCACACCTTTATTTTTACATGCAGAACCCTAAAAAGAATTGAGACGAAGAATTTTGTGCAACTTAATGAGTTGTTTACTCTCGCACAGAAAATTTTGAATTTCAGCAAAATATTTTGAGCTTAATATTCAACTAATTAAGGCTTAAACGTATCATGGTAAACTCGAACTCTCTTTTCTCGAGCTCACTACATCTCACTATAGACCCGGTTACTAGAGTCTCCCGAGTTCGTCATGCTCCGCTTACTGCTTGTAAAATTAGAAACTTAGATAACCTGCTATGCAAATTATCTATGTATACTACATTCAAAAGTTAAACTGTTTTGCGTCTTATTTTGAGTACAATAAGATTTTTCCTTTTTCCAACATTTGTACATTACACATATTTTATGACATAATATGACCCCTAGATATTGAACACATTTTGACAAATATATCGACGCTGGAAAGCAAACACGTAGTAACCTGCAAAACCAAAATGGATATTTAAAGTGGAAAATCATTATATTTTTCAAATAAAATATATCTAATTTTCGTATAAATTGACTAAGGAATAAAAATAAGGTATTAGGAATAACAAACTAAAAGTTTTTCTGCTCTGAAGAACACTTTTGGTTTGGCAGGTTACTACGTGTTTGCTTTCCAGCGTCGATATCAACATGTACAACTACACTATAGTGCATCTAGACATTAACATCATCAGTAAGTTCCAACTAATATGGCGCACGGTGAATCTTCGTTTGCGCGGAGCAGATCTATGGTGCCTACGATCACCGAAAGTACGATTGAAATATATAGCGTGTATTTGTTTCTCACTCACACTAAGCTTGGTTCCGGCGCGTGGATATTGGTGGATCGTCCGATGGCGCAATACTTGAAGCATCCTGATTGGCTTACATTTATCGCGCTTGGAAATATAACCTGCGCAGGTACATCAGTGGGCCAGATCAGTTGTATCTTACTGTAACTACTGCAATCTTCCTGCATGTCCGTTCAATGCATTGCTGATAGCGGAATGGCAACTGGATATGGTGAACGCTTGGCTATATAAATAAACAATTAATTATGTCGCAAACGAGACCGCTATCTTTAAGAACTTTCATCTTTCAAGAAAATACATTTTTATAAATTGAAACACCTTTGAACTGGTTTATAGACGCATCTAAGGGACCATACTGTCTCTTCACATACTCCAATTGGGGGGAAGGGGCTATTGAAAATCACAGAACGTTACAAAGGGAATAAAAATTTACACGTCATCACGTCGTGGACAGTCAGCCTATCGCGTATCTACAATTTGTATCATCATCATCATCATACATTCACAAAAGTACTTATAATAGCCTACACTGAATAAATTAATAGTTTGAATTTGAAGACTTAGAGCAATCACATCACATTAAAACATTACGTTATTAATGGATAGACAGATTAGACAATTTATTACTCACACATAATTAAGATAAATTAAAAACAATGGTTCTAATTCTAGGGTGAGCAAAGGCGGTCTTATCTGATGGTCTTATAATGACTATATTCATTACATTTTTAAACTTTTAGTATCCTTATCAGTTTCTGTGGTCAATAGTATTGTAATTAGAGATGCGCTGAATAGTGGTTTTACCGAATAACCGAATACCGAATAGTATTCGGTTTAACCTTTACCGTATCGGGTATTCGACCGAATCATTCGGTTTACCATTTTATTGTTTTTATTTAGCCACTGCTCTCTGGCTTTATATATCTCTGCTATTGTGTATATTGAAAGGCAATTCCTTGAGTGTGATCAATAAAATATAAAAATTTTGATTTGAGATTTAAAAATAAATGCTATTGTAAATTTTTAAAATGCTCGGATATGATTGAAGTTATTAAATTATTATTTTAAGGTTTAAAAATAAATGTTGATTTAAAATTTAAAGTCAATATTGACTATAATTTTTAAAATAAATGTTCATTTCACAACATTAATCTTACATAAAAAGCTTTGCCTTTTAGTCCTATACTGTATAGTGAAGCTAAGAGAATAGAATTAATCGGAGCGAATATATTCGGCAACGAAACCGAATAATTCGGCCGAATACAATTAGTGAATAAGATGCCAACCGAATACTAAACGATTAAGTATTTGGCGCATCTCTAATTGTAATATATAAAATGCCCGCGTTTGAAACCCGTTCAAAGGTATTCCATTAAATGAGTAGTGTGGGTTAAAATATATGAAATTACCCTTAGTTTTATATTGAATGATGATCAATACAGCGAGGCGGGGTGAGTTCGAGCGAGTGACCACAAGCGGCGATAGTAAGGACGGTTACACCACTATCTCCCTCTCTGCAGGTAATGTGTGCATGTCTGAACATGTATTGACACGTCCGGACATGTCATTTATTTTTAAATATATAATACGTAATCGTTTTTAAATAGTTTCAGTGTGCCTTTTTAAAAGGCCTACCGAGAAAAACATCTATAGAATAATTCAACAATATCAAAAATAATAACATTTTCACCATAAATTTATATATGGTAGTTTTTCATTACAAACATTCTTAATTATTTTTTTATTATTAGAATAAGTACAGCTATATGAAATATTTATTCAATCAACACCATTCTTTTACACAGACGGTCAGTGCAATATTTTTTTGTAGTTCAATTAAGTTTTCATTATATAGTTTATTATTTCCCACCAAATTTGAACCGCCAAGCGTTCATCATTGTTCACATACTTATGTACACGCAGCAGCATAGCAAATTAAAGCTTAAAATCAATTCCAGCAATTTTGTATTACCAGACGTGATGTTGACTGTATATAGAAATTTTCGAAAGAAAGCGCTTAAAATATAGATTGTGCCTCGTAATATCACATGCGAAACAATATGGATCATTAAAAACGAATCATTAATCGTCGGCAAATGGTTTAATATATTAATGCGCGCTCTTACCTTCGTATAGTCAAGAAAAGTTGTTACTTGAGAATATGTCATATAACTTAAGCAGATATTTTTGAACTAGAATTTTAATGAAGTAACAACCACTAATAGTTCGTATACTATTATTATTAGCTATTAACAGTTCTTACTTCATTCAAACTCTAGTATACTGGTTAAAATATATTTCTCAAACAATTACTTGACTCGACTATAGATACGAGTGTTAGATAGAGTAGAGACAAATAAATGTTTTATAATAACATAATTAAAGACCATACTACATCATTATAATATAATACGAAAAATTTACTTGTCTGTGGCATTGCAGAGTGCCAGGGACAAAGTGGATTTTTTTAACATTTTTGGTTAAGAACGTTATTACAAATTCAAGATTGAGCCGTTGCCGCTTTTTGAAGTGACGCCTGAGTGATGCATGCGTCAATGAGGAAGTATTTAAAAAAAAATAGTTCCCGAAATCAAACTAGATGTCGCTACGGCACGTTCTTGATTTCTCCATGACAACCTTTGTAGTTTTCTTTCAAGTTTAAAAGTAAATTAGTTTTCAAAACTCAATAAACAACTCTTATTCTATTTGTACTTTTTCGTATTTGTATTGATGTCTAAATTTCGAACTTTTCAAATTTTAATTTTTTTTATTTTGTTAAAAGGAACGGAAATGATTGTCTTTGGTCCATTCGTTTCCTGCAAAAATCAACTTTTGCTAGAGTCGCCATCTAGTGGAGGTGGTTTTTTGAGTGCCTTCGTTTTTTTTAATACTTCCTCAATCGGCTATTTTTTACGTGATAATCGCATTTCCATAGAATCTCATCTTGCATTTGCCATTGTACTATCATCTACCCGAAGTCCATTATTGTCTTCCTCACAAATCAATGGTCACATATATATTCATTACTTTATTTTTTTTTATTTTATATATTTTTTTTAATTGACCACATTGTAACATAAACATTACATTAGCCATGACATACTGTTTTACAAAAGCATCGTTCAAAATAATATTAACAGTATATTTACAGCAATATATAATTTAGAAGTAGTCAATTAGAAGCCGAACTAATTTTACTTAGGGATGAATTAAAAAAAAATCTGTTTAAACGTCGATAATGGCAAATCAGCAACTTTGAGAGGTAGTTTATTGAACATATACAACTTCAAACTAAATGCCTGTTTATATGTCTCGTTTAACCTAGTCGCTGGCACACTAGCTGTGCCGCTGTCGCCGATAGTCGCTGGTTTGTCCCTATTTCGTGTGTTATATCTGTGAATATCTTTTATTCTTAGGATTGTGATATAATAACAAGAACTATTGACTGTCCATAATTACGCTAACATTAGCATTATTACCCTGTTGGTGATTTATGAAAACTGGACCACAAAAATGTGGAATTTGATTACACTGGTGATCAAAGTGGAATAAACTAGTTTGATGAGCTATTTCTGACAATGTATCTACGAGTTGTTCGCTACTATTGAAATTAATATTTAATTATTAACATTGAAATATGGAATTTCATTAATTTACTTTTTATATAAAAAAAGTAAATTTCAAAGTAATTTTGTTTTACTTATTAAAAAAAAGTAAATTTCTTTTAATGATACTCAACCAAAAGAAATAAATTGTCCTGATAGTAAACTAAAAATACTACGTACAATAAATTAACTCATACAAGAAAAGTCTGCGCGCAAAACTAATTTGCGGTCTGCAGTACTTACCATGTATAAAAATTAGTAAGGAACGTTTTGAATCAGGTTCTATAAAACAAGAGAGCAGCAAACGTAGCGCCGACTCACGGTCCGTCGATCAGCCGTCCAGCGCTAAACGACGCCGTGTAGCCGACGAGAACGGTGATGACGTCAACGAGCGAACCGTCGCCGAGATAGTGGCCACCATCAACGATCCAAACTATATGTGCGGACCAGATGTGAGTACCTTAACATTTTAAAAAGCGCCTTATTTGCTTGGGATTCCATAACTATAAAGAAACTCTCGTAATAGTTCAGATTACAATTTTCTTTTTAAAAACAAGCTTTCGGCTGATATATTTCTTGTATGCCTTAGCCTTTAGAGTAATTCCAAGGACTACGTCAAATATTCTTACTGCAAATTTTCACCCAAAAAAGACAGTGTCTTCTCACACCTGATCAATAACTTATTGTAAAACAAGATGCATTGTTTTAAAGGCACTATTCCAAATGCAAGCGCCCAGAGATGAGGCGGCCAAGCTGGAGGAACAACGCAAAATGATAGAGTTCCACGTGATAGGTAACTCGCTCACCGGACCAGTAAACAAACAGACCATGCTGTGGCTTATAGGTGAACTAGTGTGATTTTTATTTATTTGCTTCTTGACCATCCTACTTCTAGGCACAGTATAAAAAAAAAACAAAGTCGCTTTCCTCTATATTTGCAGTTTTTTAAACTACACAACGAATATATACAGAGTGATTTCAGACGAAATTCTATATGTATTAACATATAGACTGCTTTTTATCCCACTCTAATTTACTTTCCGAAACTCCTTTTCGGTATAATGAGACAGATTTATATTGAAATGTAACCTTTAGTTTTGTCAATAATAATTTATTTGCAGGTCTCCACAATGTATTTTCATACCAACTACCAGAAATGACCAAAGAATATATATCTCAATTGGTATTCGATCCGTAAGTGTATTTATAGTTCTCAACCTTAGCTTATACATCTCCTATATTCAGAATTATACATTTTTAATTTGTTTTTCTAGAAAACACAAGACGTTAGCTCTTATAAAAGAAGGAAAACCTATCGGTGGGATTTGCTTTAGGACATTCAATTCGCAGGTAATTATTATATAATTATTTTATATGTATAACTCATACTTATTAACATTATATTTGCTCTAGACAAAAATTCGATAAACTACAGTTAGTATTTCTTGTTTTTTTCATATTCTATGACAAGTGTTTTAACAACTAAAGTAATCCTTATTGTCTTAATAATAAAGTGAATTTTAAGTTTATCTATCTGCCTATTTAGGGTTTCAGTGAGATAGTATTCTGCGCGGTGACATCTAACGAGCAAGTGAAAGGTTACGGCACACACCTAATGAATCACCTCAAAGACTATCACATCAGAAATAATATACTTCACTTTCTCACCTTCGCAGACGAATTCGCTATAGGTGAGTTATTTATATCTAATACAAATTAAGTTTATATAATATTTATATTTGATTGATAAAATTAGCTTAACGTGGTTTATTGTTTGATCCCTTTTGTTTTTAATTTTCAAGATGTAAAAAATGAAATTTTTTTATTTTTGGTAAAGAGTCATTCACCTGTTTAGAAAGTACTACAAAGGGGGGGGGAGCTTCTTTACTTTACTGAGTTTTGATTGTTGATTGATTTGAAGTTGATTGAATGAGCTCCGTAACTTTTACACCGATTGAAAAAAATATACCTTCAGGAAGCATATTGGCAAATAGTTTTATTTACTTGTGCTGACTCAGAGATATATTTATAAATCGTTAGGAACGTTTTACATGATTATGATTATTTCTTTATATAGGATACTTCAAGAAGCAAGGCTTCAGTAAAGACATAAAATTGCCACGCGCCATGTACCAGGGTTACATAAAAGACTACGAGGGCGCCACTCTCATGCACTGCGAATTGAACCCTCGCATCGTATATACACAGTTCACATCAGTTATACGACGACAAAAAGAGGTATAACACGAATGAATTAACATGACACCTGAGGGCCTATTATGATTCTTATGATTTTGTTAAAATCATATCCGTGAGGTCATCTGTGCTTCAGTGACGTCAGATCAGAAATTATCGAAAAATGCGTTTCTTTGGAAACGTATTAGCTTTTCGAATATAGAAAGACATGACCAATTTTGACTTAAAAATTTATTAACTCGTCTATTGAAGTGATAAATCTCAAAATGTAGCTTATTGTCTGCTTATTTCATATCGTGTGATTAAGTCTTAAAATAGTAATGTTTAAAATTGTGAGGCTGATAAAGATTATCAAAAAGTTATGCGTTTCGAACCCTACAATGACGTTTTGATACACTACCCCGATGTGATTCAGACCTATTAATATGATGTTCCAACAGATACGTTTTTATTCCGATATTTATTTGTGCAGTTTTAATACGCACTGTGGCATCGTAACACGTCCGTACGTTGGCGGCGTCGCAAACAAACTAAAACATTAAGACCTCACCATAAAGTATGAATTTAAACGGCCCTTTTGAGACTCTGACGGGGCATCTATTTCTGTTGTTGATCAAAGTTTATAAGCAAAACCTAATTTAAACTAACACTAATGGTAAACAGAATAGGGCTTCAGATGTCATATTATTTCGTACGAGTATTATTTGTTACATAATTTTATGAAATTACACATAAGCAATATATTTATGTACAATTGCATTCAGTTACATGTACTTGAACATACTAACTTTGTGATGAGAAAATAAATATATATTATATTAGTTAAAATTGCGGTCAGTTGCACAAACCTTAACTCTAATGGATGTAAAATTTGTATGGGTAATGAGGTATTAACTAATGACAATTTTAATGGACTTTTGTGCAATTGGCTATAAGGGTCCATTATATATTAACTAGCTTATATGTTCTAAAACATTTTATATTTTCGATATAAGAATTTAACTGTCACTATAAAACCATAATTCAAATAATCATGCAAATATTTCATTTATACAGATCGTGAAGAAACTTATCGACATGCGACAGAAAGAAGTAAGGAAAGTACATCCGGGTCTCACTTGTTTTAAAGATGGCGTAAGTCGTGTTCCCCCATACTTTCTTTTATACATAACTTTAAAAAAATATTTAAAATATGTCAGCGGATTGCACACCCACCGCACTAACTACAGAGATATATACTGTACAGGTGCGCAGTATTCCCGTCGAATGTATTCCCGGGTTGAGGGAGACCGGGTGGAGGGGAGCCGCCCGCCCCCCCGCCCTCGACCCCGATTCGGACGCTGACCTCCCCGCCCTGAGGACAGTCCTGCACCAGGTATATATCGCACTACGAAACATTATACAGGGACAATAATGGTGCACAAAATAACTAGGTATATGTTGTATCCTGCCATTTCTCTTTTATTCATAATGTTTGGTTAACTGCATATGAAAATGAAAAATACTGTATTCAAATAAGCTTCTTATTTTGAATTGTCCAACAATTTTTTTCTCTACCACTCATTCAAAACTTTTAGCTGACAATAAGAACAAGCGAAAGAAACTTACCAGCTCTTTAGCAGAAGTGACGACATTTACAATCATGTCATTACCAAAATAATATATAATACAATAAAAATAATTATAAATGAAAAAATAAATTCAATATTGCATTTGTTACTTTACTCTAAAAGATAAACATGTATCTTTTTCTGTCTTTATTTTAACCAATTGACATCAGTGTACCGAATGTTCTTATTATACTGCTGTGGTACACGCCTTTCCTATGGATGGACTGAAGATCCGGGAGGTTAATGACCGTTTTCTGTTGTTATACCTACAGTTTGTTTTCTGCATATTAAAATATTACTAAATAAATATGTTCTATCAACGATACCAATCCCCAGGAAAAATATTATGCATTGGCTAAAAATTGAGCTTAACATAACATCACATACAAGAAAATATTATACTTTACAACATATTTCATTGCACTTTATCACACTAAACAATTCTCCACGTTTATGCTCATGCTGTATTAGTCTAATTCGCAGATGATCCTATTAAATATAGACCCAAATAACTATTTTCAAAAAATAATTAGTTCAAAAAAGATATTTTTTTCTAAACTAAAACTACACATAATGTGTTACTGTCTTTTTATACGCTGTTATTATATAAACTAACTTGGTAACAGGTGAAAAATCACGCGGCTGCTTGGCCGTTCCTCAAGCCGGTGGACAAGGCGGAGGTGCCGGACTACTACGATCACATCAAGTATCCTATGGGTAAGTGACAGATTGATAATATATATTCTGGTGTTATCAATTGTTTCTAGGACATGGGGAGATTCCTGTAAAATATGCCATAAGAACGTCATTTTTTTAATGTCCTTTTGTCTTTATCCCACCCTCTAGGATAACTATAATATAAAACGAAAAAACCGTTTAAACCTATTTTAAATGTATTTTTCCTACTTCGAAAAAAGTTTTATCTGATTTGTGGCTTTTTATTATGATGACATTTTCTTATCATCACAAAGATAAGCAATATTTAAATAAATAAATCTACAAATAACAAATCTTATAATGGTATACATTTATATTGATATTTTCAGCTTTTTACAGTTAATATTTTAAGTACCATTAATTTATTAAAGAAGGAACGCGCGCGACCGATCGTCGTTAAGGTTCATTAGAGTAAACAAACAGTGACAATTTGAAATATACTTAATTAAAAGTAATATTATATATAAAAAAAATTAAAATTGCAACCGTTTACCACATTCACATATTTTAATTACTCGGTTGTAGGATTGATTTTTACAGTTATTGTATGACTACAGTTTCAAAATCCAAACTATTAATTAAGTACTACATACACTACTTATATGTTTAAGGGAGTATTACAAGACCGAAACGTATTTACACCACGACCAATCCAAGAGGACTTTGAGGTAGACCATGCACTCTGCAATGGTTTTATAGCGGGTAGTATCACTCTCATGAATACCTAATGTGACCATTTTTTTCGTGTCATAACGGGACACCTACGGAATCTTGCATATAAATAGAAAAATATTAATGTCGATGTAAAATGCCTTATTTAAAAGCTAAATACAAATTATGGTTAAAATGTGATTTAATAATTATGATATCTTACCGTCGCTGACACTCTCCAAGGGGTTTTAGTGAAATTTTAATGTAGTCGTGTAACTAAGTAGGTATATAAAAGTTTATTTATTAAAGCGGGACATTTTTATTGTCTTTGGAGGCAGCAGGACGAACAACTTGAAAGCCAGACAATCCCGCCCAAAGCAGGACGTATGGTCACATTATGAATACCATACCATACCATGATCAAATCGCTGCTTACAAGCCAAATGACATATTTATTTGTAATTAAGAGGTCAATTATAATCGTTATTTTTGGGAAATATAATATAATAAAATAAGAGCATATTTTCTATAATGATATTATAAAGAGGAAAGATTTGATTGTTTGTTTGTTTGCAACGAATAGGCTCCGAAACTAATGGACTGATTTTAAAAATTCCTACACCTACGGAAAGCTATAGGCATATGTTATATACAGAAAAACATATAGGCATATGTTATATACAGAAAAACAGCAGATAAAGAAACGAAAATGGAAATTGAAAATGGCAGTGGAAGTTTGTAAGGGGATTAAAACATTGCCATGATAACTATTGTTCACTATTCAAATCGCCATTGTAATTATATGAATCTATATCCAAATAAACAGTTCCCTGGGGACCACGCGGGCGAACCCGCTGGCGGAAAGCTAGTTTATAACAAAAGTGGTTTGAATAGATTTGTTGCCCACCAATTTAGAAGCACAACGGAATATTGCAAACGCAACGCTAACATGTTATAGATCTACGCACGATGGGTGACCGACTCAAGTCACGCTACTACGTGTCCAAGCGGTTGTTCGTCGCCGACATGACGCGTATCTTCACCAACTGCCGCCTCTACAACTCACCTGACACAGATTATTATAGGTAAGCAAACAATTAATTATAAGGTCAAATACTACTAAAGTTATTGGAATTTTGAAACTTAATTTTATTTCGCTTACTGCCCATTTTCAGCATAAATTATTTTTTATCTAGGGACGCTTTTGTCACCTACTTAAAAGCACTATAGCTTCAACTGAACGCAGTAGGTTGTTCACAAGAGTCTTATCAACCCTTCTTAAGCCTCTACACAACGCCCCCATTTATTTTTCTGGCTGTCGTACTGCCCCCATTTAGGCCTACAGCGCTCACAGAGAGGCGTCATTGTTCACTTTGGGAAAGATTGATTTATATGGACTAAGATATAATTTCACAAAACACTGTATGTCAACACTGACATACAGTGTTTTATTAAGCTTCTATAGCCGTGTCTTTTTTTTTTAACTGTATACTATTATCAATGTTGAAACTTACAGTAGACCAATTTTTTTTGCAGACCAATTTGCAGTTAGTTACTCTAAATGGTGCTTACTCTAAATTTGTCTAACCATTTATCATTGCCACAGGTTAATATGTATGGCTATTTTTATATTTAATATGGTATCTATACATAGTATAACACAAAGTCGCTTCATGCTGTCAGTACGTGATCTTTTAAACTACATAACGAATTTCAATGCGGTTTTCGTTAATATAATACAGGACCACACGGGCGAAACCGATGGCGGAAAGCTTCTTTTAAATATTCGTCTCACACATCACATGCAATATGGAGCATTATTGTGACAGTACGAACCCATTGCGTGGATTGTAGTAACGGCCAGGACCGTAGAAGAAATAAGGCCGAAATAATAAATTTTCGGTCACCCATCCTGTGGCAGGCCGTTGCGGAGGGTGCTTAGCTTTCACATTATTTATACGCTTTCTTAATTGCAGGTGCGCAAACACCCTGGAGAAATACTTCCACAGCAAGATGAAGGAGGCCGGCCTGTGGGATAAATGATCCCCGCCATATGATACAGACACCGATGACTCGAGCGATACATAAACGTTTAACCAATAAGGAATTTGTAATCGTTGTTTTGTTACACAAAACTGTTCACGTCATTCCAATACGACTCAGTTGTGCTATCAAAATCACATGGCCCTGTCACAGCGTAGAGATTTAATCTAACAAAACCTATTTATGCAGGTAATAAAAGGTTTTTATTTAGCTGTGCTGTGGCAGCTTTAGTTCGAGGCTGATTTTTATTACAGAATAGCAGAGCTGTTCGTGTGACAGAGACAAAAAATATATAACAAAACAGCGGTTACATATTACTTGTTAGTGAGGTCTTTATGTGACAATATATGAACTGTATTTTATAAGAGACGTGTTAAAATGCATTCGTGCTCGAGTGAACAGACAAGTTTACAGTGCTTATTAAGGTAACAGTGCCGTTGACATTTTAAAGGAAACCCAGTGACTCGTGAAAATAAACTAGTGATTAAAACATTTTTATCTACTTTTAAACTATCGCGCTGCATTATTGTATATAGTTATTATTACAAAATCCATCTGTTGGAATCTGGTTTTAGAAGGTAGAAAAATCAATTTCATTTTTGACCCTTATCGCCGTTATAAAGTCGCTTTTCATGAAACAGAGACATGAGGTGTCCTAAGAAAATGCACTCAAATTATATTTGGTATAGTTTATAAGTGAAGTGAATAAAATTAACCTCTCTTCGCGATGAGGCAAAAGGTCAGAAAATGGACACTCACTCGGGGAAAGCAAGGCACTTTGGTGAGAAAATACTATGAATGATTCGTATTTTGAATTGTTGCCCCAACAAATGTTATTTTTTTATAATGCACTATAACAGTGGCTCTAAATCCACTAGAGCACATTTATGTAACAAAATAGCACTATTATGTACTATCATCCAAACACTTTCCCTACCACTCGTTCAGGAACTATTGGCTGATAAGAAGCTCAAGCGAAAGAAAGTTAGCCGCTCTTTAATCAGAAGTAAGGAGATTTACATCAGTCATGTCGTTACCACCTACTAAGGTAACCAAAGTCCCCTCACGGACGCGGTTATTGTCTCTTAAGTTCTGAACATAGACTATCTGCAATCTTAACAATGTGTTCATCCTTTTGCTGTTGTTTTCCTCTTACCTCTTTACCTTTTGATGGCATATCTACAATTACAGATCCCATGATTTCCTTTCGTGTCATTTGTGCAACTAGTGCGTGACAGATTATCGGCAACTACATTTTGTTTACATGCGATGTACATATTTAATACTGAAATCATAAGGTTTTAGCAACAAAGCACATCAAGCGAATCATCCTTTATGCATTCTTTTTTTCTCAACCGAGATGGTGGCTCAGCAATCTTTTTATTGTGGAGGTTGTTGAGCTTTCCTTGAGTGACACGCAGGGCAGTCACTTCTGACTACAACTGGGGCACCTCAGCCGTAACAATTAACAATTTTGATATCTTTATCCCAGTTTCTAAGTTATCTGCCCTTATCATGGTCCTTTTGTTGATTCTTCCTGCGCGTGAGTACCAGTTTCCTGCAACTTTCAACACTAGCCAATATTCTTACAGTATCTACTTTTCACTTTTTATTGGAAGATTTTACTGGTAGCTGCTCATAGGAAAAAGAATCTCCGTCTTTTTCACGAGTACATGTTCCACTTCTTGTGCGGCTTTAATTGACTCGTCAAAGCTCTGTACGTTGAAACGTGGTTTCTCGTTTCCCATAGGATGTAAGTACAACGAAAGCGTTTTTATTGTGTGCGTACAATAACAATAAGACATTATGACTTCCCATTGGTGGACTTACTTTGATGTAAAAACAAAAAACAGAACTTAAAATGTAATATAACAATATAAACTTTTATATGTTATCATATATTGTTTAGTTAGGAATAATTATAATATGGAGATCTCATTTTTAATACATCTCCATACACTTCTTAGACGCAGTTGTTATGTGATTAAGATTCGATTTCTGAGTATAATATACTATTTATATATTAAATATATTAGAATAATGTTTCACGTCACTAATTACCAGTGAGTATATACATTAATATATGGATATTCCTTCTGAAACGGAAAGTGGTTGGACCGGACACCGGATGTTTCTACTTTTATCATATTACATATGCGGCTAGTTTCAATTGAATATAGCTGCGATGAACGAGATCGGGAATAATCGGGCGCATTTAAAGCGCCATTCATTTTAACTTTGTGACTATTCCAATAAAGTTTCAAAGAATAATAGTGATTTTTGCGAACAATAAAAATAAAATACAATTGTTAACGAGATTAATATCAGGCCGCATACTTGATAACACCCGGATATCTATTTCATCTGTAGTATAAATGTATAAAAAATGATGTAAAAGATTCATAGTTATGTTCTAATTTTAAAGAATAAAATAGACTATAATAGCAAGAAGTTTATTAAATAGTAGTAGAGTAAACAATTTAAATAATTTTTATAGCTTGCTTTCTATAGTGAATTAAGTATCAATGATGTGAATACCTGCATAAAAAATATCCGGATGATTCCGGAAATATTTTCAGGAAAAATATCTTTTCCATGTCATTCTGTCTATGACTATTTATGATCCAAGCACTTAAACCTATCTACACGTAAATATTTATGTTCTAATAATATCAATTGAAAAGATTGTTCGTTTGTATTCATCATTTGTGGCGGATATAGGTTACAAAATTACACAGCCGAAGTAACTAAAAAAAATCATCTAATAAATAATGATAGGCTGGGGCGATTTATATAACAATGAACGTTGACAGCTTTATCATCTGCGTCTAATAATAAGACTGAAGTTCTTGTATCATAATTATTAATCGTAATGTTTACTAAATTACCCAGTTAATTATAATAATGTAAATAAAATACAATTTGCTTAATTCACATTGTTATAGTGTAATTTTTATTTTTATAATTTCGGATATTTAATGTGTGTGTAAAAATGTTGATAATGAATTTCCTTCTACAGCTTTTCCCTTAATAAATGTCATGTTGAGATTTTTAAGAGAAAATTATTATAATAAAACACTAATCTAAATACTGTTTTGGTTTTTATTTAACACTTCATGTACACACATGGAGTACTTAGAATATTTTCAAGAGGGGAATGTAAACATTTTTTTTACAAAATTAACTGTTAATAAAAGTACATACCAGTCTCCTTGTTAATATTAAATCCAATGGATTTCACATAATAAGTATATTATCTTGATTTTACAACGTAAGTTATAACTTAAATGCTCACTTACAATACTAAAACATAATTTTAAACTTAAATTATACAGTTTGAACGGGACGCAATCACTTTTGAATGCAATTTTTAATGTAAATTGCGTTTAAAAGCGACGCTGCTTGAGACTAGATTTCATAACTACCGTTTCTCTTGAGTCACGAAATTAGTGTTTGGGTTTTATGATCGAATCCGATTCATAAAGATGTACAGAGTACTGTGTAGATCGAGTATTCATCCGTGTTATACCAAGAGTACACGGCGTAGAACTGCACTTTTTTTACATTACAACTATTACTTAGTGAAACAGAAACTTTGGACAATTTTTGAGATATAATAAAGTGAATAATATACTGCAAAAAAACGTCCAGGTAATTCGGTTTTGGTATGCAAGTTCCAAGGCATCAGGTTCAAATAACGCATTAAGTGCTAGGATATGTCTAACTATTCATATATAATCATTATATTTGAACATTTAACATTCGCCAAGTATATAACATCGAATAACACAGGAACACTCGGCTCATCTCTAACAATACATAAGAAAATGAAAGTTTCATAAACGTAATAGATTTTTAAAATAAAAAGTAGTAAATAATATATTTGTCAAAACACTTGATCAGCAAATATAGTATAGTATAGTTCATGGGAATACTAACGTATATAGAACTTCTTCTTTTAATAACATTTATAATTTGAACTGCTTATAAGCTCATATTCACACTAATGCAATATTTACAACGGGCCGTATACGAATCGAAAACGCCCTGAAAGTATGACACACTAATAGTAGTATTTAATAAAAAAAAATCAATAAACAATGAAAAATAAAACACAGCTAATATGGGTTAAGTGTCGGTGCCAAATCTCACAGTAGATCCGTCAAATGTCCATTGATGGCCATTCACGTTGAACGTCATATCATATATTTGTCAGTTCTGATGACCGCGACGATGAAACCAAACTTGCATCATATATGAGACGACCCCCTCCTAAATATAAAAGCGCGGCAAATGTTGGCCAATCAGCGCGCCATCGGTCGATCCGCGCATCGTTTACACCTTCAGGTGGTCATTAAAAAAACAAAACTAATAATAAATTTTGATTCATCGTCGGAATTAATAGACGTGATCTGTAAAAAAAGGTGATACGACAAGCCTTATTAGTTGGGTTTTACTTTACAAATAACATAAATGTTTCTATCTCTTACTACCATTATTGAATGTAGGATTTCACTCTCAACATTTTTAGCAAAATATTTCAGTGTAGTTGAAGATGTATCGATAGTATCATGATTCCTTGAACTAGTACATTACATCTATCGATAAAATTACCAAACAACACTGGTTGGGTGACAATGACATAATAGTATACACTTGAAAGTAGTAAGTACGGCGTCATCCGTTTATAACGTAAGACCATTTTTGCCAGTTTTAACCTCACCACCTGTACACGAGAAAAAATAGGAATCAGCCGACCCGCTGTTTGATATTTATTACGTAAAAGTCTCAAGGAAAAACGAAAAAAAAAAATTCATTCATTTTTCCTTAAAGATTCTTGTAGGTACTTAAAATCTTAACTTTGCCAGTTCTTGCAATCTCACGTAAGAACTATCAAAACTCCCTCCCGCCCTCCATATAACATCTTACCCAATAAACGGACGACGCCTATGACACATTAAAATAGTTACCATAAATCACATGTTAAAGCAATGAAGTGAATATTATTGAATTATGACGTCACACTTTACCAAACACCAAAAAACACTTAAATCATTGTTTTACCTTTTTTAGAAACATTTGCAATAAAAATTGAAGATATGAAAACGGTTAATAAAGTGATATAATAGTTATGGACGGATTAATCTGCTGACATAAAGATTTCTAAGGTTCGTATATATTTAGCGCACCCAGGCAGGTGCCGACGTAGTAATATTCTTCTATATAATATCTATTTGCGTATTTGAATCTACTATGCGTGCCAAATAAAAAGATTGGTGCTTCGATATTTCTTTAAAAAAATTTTTTTTCACACTATACCCTGAACTTGAGGCGCAATGCGAACTAAGATGGCAGTTAGACAGTACTATTCTTAATTGGCTTGCATAGCACAGTAACAGACCTCGACACCACAGATATTGTGCCTGGTTTGTCTCATATAACCAGATCACGCTACTTAACAGGGCTACTAAGTTACAAATCACTTAACAAAATATAGAATACAAATAAAAAATTACATTTTATCGCTTTAATTAATGGTAGGTATATTACGAGATCATGAACTAAATATAAAGTTTTTTTTTTTAAGTACAGTGGCTTATATGATAGTAGATTTTTACATTAGCAACACATTAAAAAAGTGATGGAGAGAAAAAAAAAGCATAGAGACATTAAAGATAAGACTCGAGTGGTCTTCCTGTAAGCCACAAGTCCCCCTGATAGAGAGATATGTCGCAGTACCATTTCTGTGAAACACACGCAGTTAAAGCAAAACTATAAACAAAACGTCGTCGAATCATTCTGATAGACTTCCCTTTCCGGATTAACTACGCATGAGCGATTAAATATAGACAAAATACTATGATCTTAACATAGGCACATTACAGGAAGCCCGGCTGTTGAATCGAGAATTATCTCTATGAGAAAAAGTCGTTTAATTTCGCCACTGTCTAACATTTGGTATATATTTTCTATGGTGGTATTGAACAGAACCAACTGTTTATTGCTGCAAAACACAATTTCGTGGACTAGGCGGAAGAGCGGGTACCTTATTAACATACAAAACTATAATATCCTTAAAGAAATTATCACTCACAATTCATCCAATTTCACTGGAAGTTTCATTATTAATTATGATTTCTTTTTTTTTTTTGAGTATTTTTTCAAATTTTTTTTTATATGCAACATTCACTTAGCACTTTATAAGGTTTACTCTCACGAATGTTAGAACTAAGTCATTTGGCACGGTGGTCTCCGATTGATTCACTCTTTAGTCGGTCAACCTTCAGGATTGGCATCGGTATTGCTGGCGAGCGTCTCCTGCCTGGAGGATTCACCTCTCATGCTGTCCGACAACGTGGACGCGCAAGAACTGAAAAAATAAACTTATTTTACTGTACTGTCGGCCAAAAATATGGTCCACCATCTACTATGTTTGTAGTTCATTTGAACATTATTAAAGAACAAGGTTGATTTCCGCTTGCAATAATATTATGATAGTGACTATCACTTCATATGACTCAGAAAACTATCAGGTAACAGACGGTACGTCATAATTGAGTACCTAAACTTAATTAAAAGTCAAATTTAAAATCACTAAAAGATTTCACAAATCTTTAAAAATTGGTAAATCACTTTTTGGCGACTACACATTAAACATTTCTGCATTTGTTAACCGTTTTTAATGATGACTTTAGAAAAATACTCAAACTCCCGCTTATGAGTGGAGAGTGGCAGGTGCTTGGCAAAATATCGTTAAGGCAGGACAATAAAAAAAAAATTACGGCTTCACGCAAAGAGTAAAGTAAAGGGGACAACACTCAGCTCTCAACACCTTTGTCTAAATTTAACTATTTTCATCATGCACATAATTGAGTTAAACTTTAATACGAGTCAAAATTATAACAATCAAAATTAATGTTAAATAGACAAATAATAGAAACATATCGTTACATATAAGACAGGATTTACGTTACATCATTGGATTAACATCGCTAGCAGTTGCACGTGTAAAGGTCCACTTTCGCAATGCATGCAGTAGCTTAAAGATAAAAAAGTAGTTCCGTGCGATGCACATCAAGGATAATATTGATTTAAAATAATATTAAAACAATTCAAAACTTTCGCTTTGGTCTCAGTTTAAGCGGTCGCAATGCAATGTGAACATATATGTGTGATACAAAAACATATAAATAATATTCGCAAATTTGGTCAAATACAATTAAACACATTTTCATCTCAATCGAAAGTTTAGAATATAAGTAAGAATATTTCATTCGGTATCAAAATCGATGAAAATATGTTCATTCGTATAAAATGTAACAAGTTATTGAATATTGCTCAATTCGCCGTCGCAGTTCGCGCGGATTTGCATATAATAATAATAAACATATGTTACACAACAGTTAGTAGTTAGTTAGTTATTAATTTACTTTAACCATTCCTCGTTTGGTATCATCACCACAACCGATAAATACATAAAGTATTTACAAAGTACGGTTCGCAGAACGCCGTCGAAGCTATATATAAATAATCATCGTTTCACACTATCAACGAAACAGCTGATTATTATTTCGTGAATCCAATGTTGCTCACATAGTAAATGTTTTTCAGTATATTCACTGACCCATCCCACGAAGTTTTGGCATATAATAATATTTACACCTTATATATGTTACATATATGTAACGCTTTATATGTAACATATATGTAATGTTATATTTGTTATATATATGTAATGCTATATATGTTACATAAATGTAACATATTGTAACTCGGTGGCGTAGTGGATGAGCGCCGCGGCCCGCGATCGTTGTTGTTAAGCAACTTCCGCAAGGGTCGGTCACGGGATGGGTGACCAAAAAATTATTATCTCGAGCTACTCCGTGCTTCGGAAGGCACGTTGAGCCGTTGGTCTCGGCTGCATTTGCAGTCGTTAATACCCTCAGATCCGCATTGGGCCAGCGTGGAGGGTCATGGCCCATCCATAAGGTAGGCCTGAGCCCCTGCAGTGGGGACGTAAAAGTGCTGATGATGGTGATGATGGATGTAACATATATATAAAGACTGACCGTTGCGCGGTATCGTCGTGCGGCGTCGCGTGCGCGTGATGCAGCGAGGGCACCAGCTCGTCGGGCGAGGAGGCGCGGCTGCTGCGGCCGCTAGCCGCCTCCGAGTACGAGTTGTCACTGGTCAGCTGACAATGAGAGACGATATACAATGTTACACATCGCACACCTCACATTGTAAACACAAAGTGACGCTGGAAGCCGAACACGTGGTAACGTGCATATCCAAACTTGGTCAACTTGGTTAGTTACTATAAGACGAGAAAACATAAGACGGGTATTAACGCGATGGATTTTGATAGTTAGGTTTTCCCCTACCTATATTTCTCGATGTTTCGACAAGGTTACACCGGCTGACTGTTTCTGCGATGCTACATCGCATCTTCTTAAATGGAATCCACTTAATACCCGTCTTATACAATCTAATATAATGCAACGCGAAAGTTTAAAAGTTTATACATTAATTTTGGTTTTGCGGATTACTACATCTTTGATTTCCAGTTTCGCGTGCCACATCAATCATACAAATATACAGTTTTTGAGGAGTTTTAAAATCCAACACGGTCCGGTAATTTAATAATCCGAAATACAGACAAATAATCGAGTTACGTAGTTTTGGAGATAAATCAATATTCCTGGAGCCCGGCATCCTCTATTCGTCAGAAAACAACATAACGACGCTAAATGGCTAAATCAAATAAGTTAGACACCTGATTAAGAATTAATACGGAGCCGCTAGACTGACGTCAGTCCGGCAACACCACAAGCATTCTTCTTATTTTTTTTTTTAAAGACAAAGCATTGAAATAAGAACCATCTTGTGAGAATTTACAGTACACAAAATTGAAATTTATATATTGATTACAAACTTTTCCTGTTTATAGAGAAAATTTATGTATAAATAAAAGTATTTAGTCACCAGCGTGAGCGGGTGTCTGTTCCTAGCAGGACTGAGCGCCCTAGAGCGAGCCTCCTCCACGTCCAGCTGCAGAATACTCTCCTGACTGCCCGTGTACTACAACAATACAATATTACATACTATTTATTCTACTATTCAAGAAGTTATCTCAGTGTCCGTTCACACAGACCAGCTCGGAGAGGAAAGCATATTTTTATTACGTTTAAAACACAGTTCTTAAACATTGTAATAAGGTTTATTTTTACAAATTTTCGATTGTCGAGTATGCTTGGAAGCAAATTGTTAGTATAAATGTTTATTTGATTACAATCTTCGCGGTGCATCGACTGTTTCCTTAGTAAATGAAAGTGTTGTCCTGAGACAACGGTTCAGGAAATTTATAATACCGCACAGCATATCTAGTACACATAGAAGTCTTTGTACCTAAAGCATGACCAATGTGCGATTGCGCGCGACCCACCCCTGTCCCTGGATAGTCAGCGGCCTTTTCTAAACCCCGTTCAGGCTAGTAGTAGTAGTATAAGGCTAGTAGTATAAAGCTGTGAAATCAGTATTCTTGGTGAGAGTCTTATGAAACATAATTGTTCTGTGTAACAAGTAATTATTGAGGGTGTCTCATACACACTTCCTTCAGCCATAATTTAGTTTCAGTGATTATTTAAAATAGTAATAATAGTGTAAAACGTGCACTACAATCAGTGATAATCATAAATATATAATTCAATGATGTAGCGCTAGTGTTTTGATAAATAAAAGTAACTTTTGTCAGATGTCAGATTTCACCAATCTAAGTGAGTCTAGATTTGAGTTAGATATAGTGAAAATAAAGCTATCATGCACAATTATAGTTTGTGCATTTTTCTAATAAATTAGTGAATTTTAGTTTGAAACATAATTTATGTTGGAAACCAAAGAAATAAAACGTTTAGTAATGTTAGTTCATCTTTCTATAGCAGATTTAATAGAGGAAATTAAGTTATATTTAGTTGTTGGAGAAAAAGTTAATTTGAAGTAACAAGTTTTATAATAATAGTTTTACAACTTTTTTGTCAATGGTACTAGTTCAGGTCATCCTCAGAGTCTCAGAGCAGATCCTAATATAACCTAATTAATACCAGATAAGTGATGAGTTATTTTTTTACACATGAGTTTTTATTGTGTTCCTCAGTCATGCTTTATATATGACTTGTAAAGTTATTTCATTGAACGGTCCCTGCATCCCTGAAGCTATTCCAAGTTTGCAAATTAAATCTTCAATTTTAATTATTTTGTGATGTAACAATAACATTAGTTGTTAAAATTACAGTAATTTACTGTATTTATGAACCTCTTAGGTTAGCTGTATAATAAAGGAATATTATAAAAGCAACTGAAACATCTCTGATGGTATCTTTTATCCTTTCACCTTTCATCTATATATATATAATTCTCAAGGTCAACCTAAAGGAGGCCTATGTCAGATGCCAGCCTGACCAATACGACGTCGGCTAAATGTATCTTGAATTTATTTTTACTAAAAACATAATCAGTCAATGTTTTAGTACAACTAGAAATAGTGATGAATTAATGAAGGCTATATTTATGTTATGAAATGTCGTCTAGTTTGGCATGTGAGTGTTGACTCACCACAAAGCCGTAGTACTTGAGTATGTCCATCTTGCACATGGGGCACGTGCGACGCTCCAGCAGCCAGGGATCTATGCAGTTCTTGTGGAATTCGTGCCTGTGCGATTAATAAGAGTATTAAGGTCACAATCTTATCACAGGTGAGATCACCAATGGAGTGATTTCGGTAGTCAGATTTATTCTAGATACAAAATAGATATTCCAATTTTGAAACCTAAAATCAAATGATTATCTTGTGTAGTGTTTTTTTTTAATGTGTACCACGTGACCTGTGACAGAACCGCCGTGATGTGATGTCACGTCGGTAAAAACATTTCTGTGTCTGTCTGTCGGTGACGTTCTTTTTATACCTTTTATTTTGTAAAATATCGTATGATGGCATTTGTTTACACGATTAGGAATAAAAATAGTGTAAATTTTTATTAAATTTTATGGCAAGAAAATCCAAATATTTTAACTGTGAAATAAATTAAACGTTTGCATGTTTTTTTTCCCAAAATAGTATACCCTATTATAGTCGTATGATATTTTCCATAAGTAAAATACCTTAATATAGTCATATGATATGGATTAATTTAATACGTTACATATATAATTAAAGTACTTACCTACAAGGAAGAGATCTAAGTGTTTCAGACACTTTATAAGGCTCTATGCAAATAGCACAACCCTCGCCGTCGCCCTGCACTTCCTGCAATATAACGTTCATTATTAAATACTTGTTTGTGTATTTTCTTGAATATGTTAAATAAACTATACTATGTTTATAATTCAATCATTCAAACCTAAATTAGAGTTGTCGTGTACGCGTGTTCATTCATACATAAAATTGAAAGACATATTTCTATTTCTGTCACGACACAACATGTAACAAAGGACAAACATTCAAATGTGTATCTAAACATACTAAAGGCTACATCACAAAAATGTGTTACCGCCTTTTCAAACGTCGAAATTGAGCCATTATATTCCATGGTGTCGTCATCTTCGAGATCTCAAGGCTCAAAAGATTAACTAAGTTGATTTACTGGTATGTGTATATGATAAAGTCTAATATTTAATATGCACTTTCTATTATAATCTAATCGATTTAGTTTTATTCGGCAATCGATTAAGACAATCAATTAGAAAAATCAAAGTTCGTCATTATTAGATTCCTCAACGTCAGGTATATTATACTGACCAGCAATAATTCCGTGTCATTTAGAAAAACTTAAGGTATTAAGGTATTTTTTATTTTTATGATTAAAAAAGTAAGCGTTAAGTTTTATAATTTTAATAAGTTTAAGTAAACGTAAATTGAAAAAAAGGATACATATTACGGCATTATTAATGTTCTTTTACCTACAACTTACTTCCATGGGCCATGTTTGATATTTTTAAAGATATGTAAGAACCCTTGTATAAAAACCCTTGAACCTAGACATTTCCGAAAATTTCCGAAAATTTTATTGCCAATAGAAATCTTACCTTATCATCAGTCTTTAAACTCTTTACTGGTATTTTCGATAATGCCTTTTTAGCAGCACAACATAATCTTTTCTGTAAAAGAGAAGAAAAAAAATATATTTATGCCTTCCAAATATTCGGAACTAATCATACGATTATGTAATCTTTTTACATACATTATGATTTTTCAAATGCTCATGGTGCTAGTTAAGGGCATGCTAACTGAACACAAGATATGTATACATTATTGTGTGAAAATTCGTAACCCGATGTCGCGTTAAATCTACAATTCGATCTACAATTAAGTGTATTTACCACATTGAACAAACATCGCATTGCCGCAATAATTCAGGCTTTTATGGAAAACGAAAGAGACAAACAGAGCATTATTATATTGATACAGGTCTAGAGGCAAACTAAAATTTATTCATGCAGTTTTGTAACAAAGCGTCAATTGTGCTTACGTAACAATAGAATTTCAATAACAAACATGTTTATCGTGTTAACATAACTAAAAATCGAGACTCTTCAGAGAATCGAGAAAATCGATTAAATTAAGGAAATGGGTCATTAACAGTGGTGGTTACTTGATGAGGGATAAAAAAGCTCCAAACTTTTTTAATAGGGGTCATTTAATATTTCTTATTCATCTTCTTCATTTGGTCTTTATTGTCCAGAACTCTAACTTGCCAAACAACGAAATAAGATTGAATACGTACAGAGAGGCGATCCTTGGCGTGGATGTACCGGAACCGCTGTATGTAGTAGAACACGAGCCACGCCAGCGATATCACCATCAAAACGATGAACGAAATCGATACAAACAACACTGAAGTCCTGGCGGAATGAACATTGCATTAAATGGATAAGATTTTCTTACTATGCTTATTTAAAACTATTTTAATGTATTCGTAAAATGGTAAATTCAATATAATTTATTCAGTCTTAGCTGCTATGTCGAAAAACTTAGCAACTGCTGTTTTTGCAGACGAAAATGTATGATAACTTTTTGATAAGCTCCTCCTTTCTTCGGAAGAAACGTTAAGCTATCTACCCCAACCCGGTGCACGTGACGCATGGCGGTGTTCTCTCGTTCTGATTCTATCTATAAATAAGACGCCTAACAGTAGCGATATGAACTGAGTAATGGTCGGTTTCGTCGTAACACCTGGCCTGGGATTCTGAAAAAATCCAAACCCGAATTCGAATCCACTCAGGTGTTTGAATTCACTCCAAAAAGCGACATCCGCTCAATTTTGAATTGGTAATAACATTTCGTGGCATGAGTGAAGTGAGTATCGAAATGATATAGGAATAGAGTATCTAAGATACATATAACCAACCAATTTTGTTTTGTATTTTTATACAAAATATGGAAACAATACAATTTCTTCACTAAATGTCGTGAATTCGGAAACATGTATAAATTCGAATTTGGGTTCGGATTATTACAAAATCGTAGGGCTGGTCTTATCCACTACTTCGTTTGTTTGGTCATTTAGCTATACGAATTCTTTTTCACGTTAAGCATATAACCTGTATCATGCTACAGCTCTCCAAATATCTTTCAAAAACAATCATACCCGATGCACCAATCGTATTCTCCCGTTCTCGATGTAATATTGTAGGATTCATGTATCTCTAGTAGTTATATATATGTAAAGATATATAATTATCATTGGCACACTACCTCCGCACTCTCCGCTGATATGTCCTGTTGAGGATCGTCAGCTGAACCGATCTATTTTTATACGTTATCTTTGTTTTTATTTTTATTTAATTTTTGTTTTGTATTGACATATGGTCTTTTGATTGATTGTCACGTGCTTTGACGAGTATATTTGTTTTGTGGACAATATAGTTTTGAGAAGAGAAGTTGTTTATTTTCGCACCTGTGCCCACATCATTCCTCGTCACCCTCTTCGTCCATAACATGTCCTATGATTAAGGTTGTCTGAAATAGATCGCTTTTAGCGATAAGACCGCCTTTGCCCACTTTAACTATAAAATGTACTTTAAACTGTTTATTTTTATGTGTGCAATAAAGAGTATATCTATCTATACTGTGCATCGGAACGCGAGCATCTAACCGTTAGTTCCGGCTGCATCTGTAGAAGTTAAATAAAACTCACAAATCCGACATAGGCCAGCGTGGTTACACATGGCCCGTTCCCATCGATATTCGATGCCATCTCTCGGAAAGGTCTGTGCACCAGCACTGGTGACATTAATGACCTTATTATGACACTCACTTGTTGATGTTGTTGCTAACGTTAGCGAAGGTCCGTCCCTTGAGGATGTCGATCATCACCCTCGTGCCGTTGTCCGTGCGCCGCGTGATCTCCTCGCCCTTCCACTTGTACGTGAACACAGCGGTTATGTTGCCTGCCAACAAGTAAACAACAGTTACGATTGGTAAAAAAATACCACGACCTCCAAGTGGTTCATACGCCGGTTTCAAAGTGTCGTCGTCTCTGAGGTCCCGGCTTTTCTAAATTGTCTCCGGTCTGGGTGTTGTGGTGCCTTCGTTGTCTCTGACATTCCATAATACTTAGTTTGAGCTACACATCTTGGAATCTGAGCAATGTATGCGATGTCATATAATATTTCTTTAATACCGACGATTGTTGAAAGACTACCGTACTAAAGTGCTAATATTAGAATAAGTTATCTTTATTACTAACTTACTCAAGGACATATGGACTGAAGTAAACTGTAATTATAGTATTATTAATGTGCTTGGGCCCGTTGTCCTTTGTTCGCAAGTAGGGTAACCAGATGTTCGTTTTAATCGGACATGTCTGACTTTTATGACTCTATGAAACTAATAAAAATAAAATCTCTCTCGTTTTTCGATTCTTACGTAATGTTCTTTTGTTTAATTGCACATTTTCTCTTAAATTTCAGAGTTAAGAGATCAAAACTATCAAATATTTTTACATGATACGCTATAAAATATATGTAGATCAGATTAGAGTATAAACGCTACAATGATTATTATAAAATCGCTCAAGATCAGGCTTCATCTACAAAGTGGCTAACTTAATTACCAATTTTCACTCGAAAATAATTTTATTTAATTACATTTTGGCTCGATCATTTCACTGAAATATATCGTATATATAATGTTTCCTCATTTTTGTTACTTTTTTCACAATCAATTTACTGTCTATTATTTGGTTCATACGCCTTAACGACTTCCTTGATCAATAGGCCGGCATTCTGAGTAATTTCACACAATATTTGGTAACGAGTATGTTTAATAGCTACTTGGTAACGATATTGAAGTGATGTCGTCGATATTTATTTTTATCAAAATAAATCTATAACACATTAAATCTATAACATATAACACATTACCTATGTCCCCCGCGTATTGCTTATTAAATACTTATTAAACCTACAATTTTTTTACTCAACTCTGCAGATTAATAAACCGGTTTTGAATCCTGTCTAAATGATTTCAGATGACTGTATTATAAGAAAAATCTTTAAATTGAATACAAAATTCAATCTAAATTGCAAAAAGAAACATAAGTTTCTAATGTATCAAAAAAAAAACGAAACTTATCGTACCTTAATTATTCCAAAGGTACTATAGGAAAACGTATACATAGATAAATAATTATGTGGTAGGTTACACGGTCGATAGCACCTTTGACGTATCGTAGGGCAGGGTTGCATCTAACACGATTGCATCGGTCAGGTTTCACGGCCAAGGCTACTTAGTACATGGTCAACTGTCATGAGGCTAAAAGATTATGTTAGTAAATATATGTATAATATGAATACTTTGTGCGACTGTTTTAATACGTTACTATAAATATAAAATGCAAAGTTAACTGACTGACTTCTACATCAATGCACAGCTTAAAATACTGAATTAGTGCAGACAGATATTCAACCATCCACTTTTTCTACAGCTGATTAATAGTATAAATATATTTTTTAATAGAACCTAAGTCCAATTATTATTGATGCAATTTTAAAAGCACCGCTTGTGAACATTTTGTTAAAAAAAATGATTTCAATAGTAAATATATTTTATTGATAATAATAATAAAATTATTTTATCAAAGCCACAGCTATCGGGTTATTAATGATTAGCTGTTGTCTCGCGACTTGGCTCGCTTAAATTATAGCCTGTCGCCCACGTATGCTTCCCGTATGATGTGGCTTCCCGAAGTTAAATAATTTTTAAAAACAGTCCAGGTAGTGTCGGATTCTATTCTATGCACTTAAACAATCAAATCTTTGTAATATTAGTAAAGACAAGAGTGATATATCCAAGCGTCAATAGCATCGATATACTCAGTGACTTAATAAATCAATTCGCTGGTATCAATCGTGTTATATTGAATACAATGTAACAGCCGTCATTACTATGAATAGAAATCACAACGACTTATTTGATACAATATGAATTCATTGTTGCTACAATCAAAGTAAGTGAGTATGACCACTGTTACGTATTAATTTTATAAACAATGAGCTAGAACCGCGATTGTGAGCGACTCTAATTTTCAAAATACTGCATCAAGGTGCTTATCGTGAGATCTAAACACGTTGAAACAGTAACGGTTGAAGCGGTAAGAATTACATTGCATAGAAATATGTCTCACTATAACGACTATTATAACCAACTAGTTGTTTTTCTTTCCATAAGTAAAAGATTTCTCGTCACCGAATTAGCATTTCCGACAAATAAGCGAACTTAGTTGGAAACTTTACCTCTTTCCAATATTAGTATAGATATTCTGATTAAAAAATATATATCTTCTCCATATGAAGTATCTATATAAACAGCAAAAAATACAGATTCCTAAAACCAAACATACTTAACATAGTATAACTTATGTTGTATTTGGTGTTAACTCTCAAGCAAATAATAATTAAGCGAACGATCTCCAAACACGTAGCAATAAATATTTAAGTTTTGTGTTAAAAAATTGTACGATAGTTTTGAATGTTTAGAGCTTAATTAATTTTTTTGTGTTATGTATTAACATGAAGGTGTTAATAATATAAAATAAAATTGATTTCCTGTATTCTGTAGTTTCGATACTTTTACGAACTCACCGGACAGACTAACTGGCTTAAACAAAGTTATCTTTAAAAAAAACTATATTATATATTCATAAACATCGGACACTAAATTCCAACCATATATGCAATTCTCGCATAACAATCCTTAGAACCCTGATAGATGGTGACCCTACTCCGTCCGTTCTTTGCGTAGCGACCATTTTGTCTACGTTAAAATATTTCTTTTATTTCGATGCACTCTAATCTTTACTTATATTATAAAGAGAAAAGATTTTATTACTTGTTTGTTATAGATAAACTAAACGACTAGACAGATTATAAAAATTCTACCATCTACGGGAAGGAACTTCATACTCAGGTAGAGTTAGTTAGATCGTTTAAACGAAAAGAACTTACTTAAGCATGCTTTTTTAATAAGAGCAGAAATGTGCTTTTTATTTTATGAAAAGCATGCGCATTTGTAAAAGTTCCGACATCTATGGTGTTACAGTATAACTAATTACTTAAATCAATTTTCGCATTACGCTACTGTATGCGGGAAGTCGCGGGAATACCGCTAGAAAGTTGACAATAGTTTCGAGCCTATTTAACGGCGGGTAATTATGATTTTGATTCATATTGTTAAAGATCACCTTTTTTTAAACAAAGGATCAGCTGCGTCTAGCAAATGGGTAGGTTAATTTAAATCCATTCTAAAGATCAATCTTATTTAGTTTTTCAAACTGCTCATACATTAGCTGTTATAATATTACATAGAAAAAAAAATATAAACATCGAGACTGTACCTAATCAGCATACATCATAACACATTACAAATGTTATATAACATTCAAACGAATTAATTTAACGACTTATCGGATTAGAAGCAGTTTCATTTTGTTACGTGCTTATGTATTCAATTTTTTTTATCAATCATTATGTCATATTGCTACGACATATTTAAAACAAGTTTTAATTTAAATTTTTTAGACTTTCGATCCTTTGCACGCTTTGCAGTTGCTAGATTGAGATATAAATAAAATATGTGTCTTTATAATATTAGCATTATACTAGTAGTCGCCCTGTTTAATATTACTGAGGTATTATTATAAAAGATAATACATATAACACCTATTTAATACTGTTTAACATTTTAACATGCGTGAAACACAGTAATATTGTTAAAGGCCTTTTTATAATTAATACATATTTGGCATAATATTATAAGCTATTATTCTGCAATTTTTTCAATTATTGTGCATACTTGGCATATCTTTACATCGATAAAACAATGTCACTTTCAGCCGTCTGCACTCTGAGCAACGATAATACAACTGATGTCATTAAATAATAATGTAGCCTAACTATAAATGCGTGTATTCATAAATAAATAGTTCGCGTCTATGGATATTAAAATTTAATAAAATAATTAATTTAATTAAGCAATTATTATTATAAGACACAGTGATGTGCGCGCGTAAATTATAGCCTATGTAAACTCTGTATGATGTAGCGGCCCGTAGGTGAAAGAATTTATAAAATCGGCACAGTAGTTTCGGAGCCTACTCGATACAAACAAACAAACAAATAATGAAATATTTCTACATTATAATATTGTGATTGTAGTCGGCCTTGTAGTACACATATCAACCTACCTATAAAGGAAAAAAGGATGGCACATGATATGTAGGTATAAAATATCTTACATCCAACCAAAAGCGTCTTCCGACTGTGGTACAACTTTCTTGTTAATTCATATTAAAAAAAAATAATAATTTGTGAATACAGATGAGAAACAAAACAAATATTATACAAAACTACTTCAAAAATTTGATATGTATTATACTAATTTGGTAAACAACAATCGAACAGGCGGCATTCCGCTAACAAGACTACAATATGAAAAGCCATCACAAAAAGAAACAAGAAACAAATGCGAGGCACGCGAATCTTAACAGAAGTCTTAATATCCTAGACAAGCGCAATCACGTAGGGAAGTCGATATTCGTATCGGGCATTGAGCCTTTTATGGATGCTCGCAAATGACATCAGATTAAAACATTCAAATTCCTGATTTAATCTGAAAATAATATATTAAAGAAAGGGATAATTCACAACGAGTTGGAATAAGAATTACTTTATATATATTTGCAATGAACACGGAATTATCTTAAAACAACAGTCATCTTCCGCATTGGTGCGACCTTACACGATCTGGCAACACGTATAAAAATATCTAGCATGATTTAGATCATGACACGAAAATTGCATTTGAATAATGCACAGAACTTGTTACAAATATGGAAGACAAACCTTGAAATATCAAGTTTATGTTATATAAGATCGATTCGCCATTTAAAATAGAAGTAGTAACACGAAAACTTCCGATTCTTGACAGTAAAACTATATCTTTATATAGATCTGTTGGTTTAATATATGACTTTCTGCGCAAACAGTTTCTCAACCTTAAGTTGTGATCCAAAATGGGGATGCAAGTGTTAATGTTATTGGGATGAGTTGCGGGATTTTTCTAGACATACACTGTGAGCGCCGCATTAGCTGTCATTCTGCCTCTAACATAAAATATTTAAAGGTGACATCGATTTGCTCAAATTACTTTAACAACTGATCAATAACCGCACGGAGACCGAATCGGATTTGCTATTCTGTTTAAATACAACGTTGAACGATGTCTCAGCTTTAGAGGTGAATAAAATGAAACCTTTATTAGCTATATTTGATAGAACGTCCGTGCTTCGGAAGGCACGTTAAGCCGTTGGTCTCGGCTGCATTTGCAGTCGTCAATACCCTCCAATCCGCATTGGGCCAGCGTGGAGGGTCACGGCCCATCCTCTTTAACCATCCATAAGGAAGGCCTGAGCCCCTGCAGTGGGTCGTAAAAGGGCTGATGATGATAAAACGTCTAATGCTGTGACAGTTCTGTATATGACGATTACTTTTTTAATAGCGCGCATACCTAGTATAAATAACAGTGTTATATTATACTCACGTCCATTATCTGTGGACAGTTTCATTTTCTCAAGCAGCGTAGTGTCCCTGTCATTGTATATAAGCACGGCAGAGGCGTTAGCACGCCATGCGTTCTCCACCTGCAAGTTAAACAGATTTTATAATTTATGAAAAAAAAAATTTTTTTCCAAACCTTTATTAAATATCGACGGATTAAAATTTAATAACGTGAGATATAAAAACGTGAAACATTCGCTCGTATAAATTTTTTGGATAACTATTCCACTGCGAATAATTTCACAATGTTTTGAGCTAAGGAAGAATATACAGAACACGAAAAACGTCTTTCTGCGTTCTGTGAAAATATATTTAATAAAAGAAGTCACTGAATTGGCCACTCTAGTCTCTTACGTACATGTTAAAGCAATGAACGAGTACGACGACCTAAGTTACTCTTTAAATAATAGTTGTTTTATAAAATTTCATTATAAATGACAATTCTAATGCCTGTAGATATTCTTGCAAATGATGTATTCTAATTCTGTATAAAACAATACATCAAAAACTGTAAATGAAATGATATTTATTGAATATGCGCCCTATCACACATAATGCCACATATAAGACACGCTGACCAGCTTTGATGAGCGATAGATTATCAAAACCTGTATTTTGTTATTGTCACAATATTCTTATTGGCTGTCAACGACAATAGTCTACAAGATAGGTAATTTTAAAACATTAAAAATATACTAAAAATAATCTTATTTTTAGTATATTTTTAATGTTTTCAGCAAAAAATATACATTATTATCTAAGAAATAAACAAAACTGAATATATATACACAATATAAAACTGAATATATTTTGACATTTTTATTTGAGAAGAAAATGCTCTGTTTGGTTGCAACGCCGATGACGTCACACGCCCTAGCGTGTATTTTCTAAAATATATTTGTCTATTGACAATTGTAGTTAACAACTGTAGGGCGCGCTTTGTTTTTGCGTGTTATTATCGATCTTCCATTTTGATGACGTTTGTTTGTTTACTTGCGTGTGACGTAATACGCGGCGTATGACAGAAACAGCGTTTTTCGCGTGGTTTCAAATTTGATTTTTATTGATAAATACAGTAAATTTCACCGAAACATTATTGTAATGTGCTTATTATATAATAAATAATAATTGAAAACTATTTCTAAAAATAACAAATAGCCTATACAAATTAAGGTTCTCAATTATGATTTAAAACAGCCCAGAGCATGCATGTTTTTCAGCCAATATTTAAGGAAATAGATCACTTGATTTTAATTTCAAATTCAACCTGTGCTTCAAATTTAGTAACTTTAACTTTTGCCCTCTTCTTAATGCTCACTAGGCTACTCCTGCCAGAGTAGTACAATGTACACAAGAAACTCGAGAAAGGCCTCAACAAAATATCTCAGACTCGGTTTTCTCTCGCCAGTTATTTGAATCTATCGAGTTCGTCGTTCTACACGGACTAGGAGTAAGCTAGTAGGCATACGGGGAAGGAGTTAAAAATTTAAATAAATAAAACTGTTATGCCCAATGAAACTATTTAAAAGGTGACGATAATCTTTACAGAGGAATAACATATATATACAAGTAATAGAGCTATTATTATTAATAAAAGTTGAAACTAAGCAGATTGCGCTTTGTTGCGTCAGAGGACAAAATCCACTTTATATTGCTACGTCAAGAATTCGTGTTCGATTTCCGATGGGTCGATGTTGTCGAAGTCAGAAGTTCTGTTTCGCGGTCACACAATAAATAATAAATAAATAAATATTTATTTAACATCACATACATTGCTCAGATTCCAAGATGAGTAGCTAAAGCTCCCGTATTATGGAGTATCTGAGACAACGAAGGTATCACCACACCCAGACCCGAGTCAATATAGAAAAGTTCATTTTATACATTGACCCGACCGGGAATCGGACCCGGGACCTCAGAGATGGCGACACCTTGAAACCGGTGTGCGAACCACTCGGCTACGGAGGTCGTCGGTCGATAAATATTAAGTGTTTGTAAACTAAGTGCTTACGTCCCGCACATTTATCCAGCGTGCGGGCCTTGGACTTTTTGGAACCAGTCCCACCACGGTCGTCTGGTCTGACTTTCTTTTCTTCATATTCATAGGCAATCGGGTAGTTCTTTAAATATAATATAAGAATGCCTTAAACGCGATTTTCCTATTTACAAAATTGTATTAACGCACTCAGCTTTCAGAAAATGTCGGAAACAATTTAAGGATTTTAACGATACATTTTTTGATAAGTTGCGTTAAAGAAATTGGTATCAAAGTCAGGCGGTTATCATTTTAATACCCTACAGAAAATCCCTTTATTTAAAAAAAAAAACAGTAATTCTTGCCCCTACCTTAATCCACCTACTTATATATATCTTATTTACATCACTTGCTGGATGCGGAATGAAACTGATTTCAAAAGACTCATTTAAGTCTGACCAACGAAAATGGACGACAGTGATGATGAATAGGCTGACGACTGATTTTTGTTTATTTGCCCGTCAGGTAGATTGTTGAAAGATATTAAACACGTATTTTTTTATTTTTTCGTAATCATAAAATTACGGCGATACGTTGAGATAAAATGTCGCGTGACGTCACGTTTTGGTACATTTTCTACTCAACTGTGACGTAGCGAGCCCCCACTCCTCAACTTTAATGTCAGTTATCTAAGCTACTTCTTGTTAGATTGAAGTAAAAAGAAATACGTATCTAAAATTTTTCTATTATCTGACTGACGGACTAAATAGAAATCTTTTTTTTTACCCAGTCGTCATCCCTATTGTTGATGTCGTTACCTTGATCTCGAAGTTGCAACTGCCACGTCTAATGACCGCTATCCAGGGCTCGGTGGGAAGCTTTTCGTCGGTGACAGACAGCAGGGGCCAAGTACAGCCGGTATGGTCGTGCTCCCCACCTGCGCCCTTCGCGCGTACATGAACAGCCACGCCTCGCGCCGACCCAATGAAACCTTCACCATACTTGCCAGACTAAAAAAGAAATTAAATAATTTTAATGGCGGCACTGTTACTGCACTAAGTATGTTGCTGAAGTAGATATTGTTGCGGATGTGTATATTGATGCGGATTTTGAATTATTAGGGTTCCCGATGATGCGGATGCGGACTTAATGAATTTTGAAAATCTTTAATACATGTGTAAAAAACGATAAGAAATAATAATTCTGAAAAAATAGGTAACATATCGTAATTTGATATCCATTTCCGCATCCGCAAAATCCCTAAACAGCACCATGTTATGCTGACTCTAAGAACTAACCTTTGGATATAACAACAATATTTATTCTAAGTGGCACATTCCTAACGTAAAAGAAAATAGCCTAACCCAAAAAAAAACCGCTAAAGAATAAGTTAAGACATTGATTCTTGTCCAATTGACTAGATTCTTAATAACGTAATGCAAACACAATTGGAATGACCAATATTGCCCATTTTGTATTCCGCCTACCTTTGACTAGACGTCTCGGAAAGTTTATCCAAAAACATATCAATAATATAAAATTAAAAACCCGAAGAAAAACAAACAGTCTTCAGTAAAAAAAAAAAAAAAAAAAATATTTGCTTTTAAATGAGGTACACTGTATATTGACATATGATTTGAGTTCAGCCCATTTTGCCATCAGCAAATAGCATGCAAATATTGATAAAATTACAAAGTCATATATCCAATGTCCAAAAAAACGTCGAGACGGTTTTACCTGATAATTGTAATATTCGCCTGTATAACAAGAAAAAGTAAAAACTAATCCAACACCGACAAATATAAATGACATTATACTGTTCAATAGTTTTGCAACACATGCGACCGTAATCGATAGACTGAATATCGATAAGAGATTAACACGAATGCATTGATAATGCGAAAGTAAACAGTTAATATTTATGCAGGTGTGACTCAACGATTAGGTGCGATTATCATAATTTATTCTATTTGTAGCCAATGACGGAAGGAAGGATTCCGATACTAACTATAGGCCGAGTTACCAACACTTATGTAGTTATAGGTTTTCAAAAAATACACCCTGTGGAAGAACACAATGTTTCCGATTAAAACAATCTTTGCTATTCTGGAACACAGCAGTGCTGTCGCACCGTAGAGGGTAGCTCAAATTAAAATAGGTTTTATTACAAAACGGCGATTTTATATTCTACTTTCAACATTAATATAGATACATTTTTTAACCATAACCATAACCAGCCCTTTTACGTCCCCACTGCAGGGGCTCAGGCAGGAGGATGGGCCATTACCCTCCACGCTGGCCCACTGCGGATTGGAGGGTATTGACGACTGAAAATGCAACGGCTAAACGTGCCTTCCGAAGCACGGAATAGCTCGAGATAATAATTTTTTGGTCACTCATCCTGTGACCGACCCTTGCGAAAGTTGCTTAACGACTACGATCGCGGACCGCGGCGCTTATCCACTACGCCACCGAGCTACTCATTTACTAAAGCTACATTAAAGCTATTTAATTTAAAGTCAAATACGACCTCATTTTTAACTGTGAATAACGAGAAAATTAAAACTTAAGTATTTGTTAATCTACGTCAGTGTAGAATGACAAGCGATATAGTTCTACCTCTGCTTTTAACATCCCCAGACAATGATCCCATTTAATATGACTAGAATTGTTAAAAGTATTGTAACAACTTAGAACAATAGTTTCAAAATTATTTACACAAATAACGTTCATTAAGTTCAATGTTAAATAAACTTGATTCGTCGTTAATTGGAGTGAATAATAATGCTTTCAAATGCCTATTTGGTTCATGATCATTGTCTTTTTCTCAGGACATATTGTTTGTTGCTTGCCATTGTTCGGAGTTATATGGAATTTAAACTATAACCAGCTAGGTTTCCTTCAATGCTATGGCCGGGTCACAATTCTAACCTAAATAAGATTACACTAACCAAACGTTGTTTACTGTTTATAGGATTAGCTGTTGCCCGCGACTTCGCCCGCGTAAATTATGATAACGTATCCTCCCGTAGATGAAACGATTCCGAAGTTTCCCTTACAAATAAACAAAGTTAGAAAATTTATTTCTTTTGTAAAAAAAATAAGTAAAAACATTTTGTTTACTTATTATTTTTTCTTTACCACGTATCTACTCCTGTCACTCTAATGTTATTTATTATTTTTAACTAAGAGATGCAAATTTGACCGTCGGCGTCCATCTGTTGGCTGCAACGAAATGATTCTAATGCCAATAATACTTATTTCTAGCGACAGCACTGTGTCGTTTATATAGATACGTTAGTTCTCTTGGTTTTATTATCATAATAGAATTTAGCGATTCAATTATTTGGCAGGCATACAAATTATTATGAAATAGCGTCATCATTAGGCTTCCATCCAATCTCCGAATGCAAATCATTTAAGAAAGTTTATATTTTTAATTAATTTTACGAATTACACTACTGATCCCCAAATTGGAAGTAATAAACAAACACGGAAATATGGTGTGAAGTATTGCAAATATTATAAATTAAAACTTTATAATATTAGTAACTATAGACAAAAACTCACTGTACCTAACAAAAACTATTTAGTATGAGAACCAACGTCCAAGCACCGTGATCGCGATACTAATCCATAGACAAATCACCGCTTCCGCTTCCTTGTGTATGCCTATGGCGGACATCTTTTGTTTTACTTAACCATTTTTAAATAATTCAAATCCCACAGATACCATCAAAGTTTTAGTTAATGTATAATATGTTAAAATATTAGTAATCAATTTTAGAATAAACAATAAAGTTTTGCATCTTAAACTATTTTTTTTAATACAAATAGTTTATTTTAGACTTCTTATTGGCAATTTCAATGCATGACTATACTAATAATTGTGTGTTCAGTTGAAATTAATATACTATACTAATAAAAGATATGCCAAGAGTGTGCTGGAGTCGTGTCACGGCCTGGGGATTACCTACATACTAATATTAATTAATTTTTTATCCTTTTTATAAATAAGAGTACAAGCAACGTGAAAAACGTCTTGTAATATGCATATCAAGCCCTTTCATATGACACATCACTTGAACTACAACTTTAAATGTCATTTTAAATGTCACCTCTTACAAGACTATATTTTTATGATTTAAGTAAAAGCGTACAGCTTTCAGTCTTTCCTTAAACCTGTGCTATAAAAAGATGACTTGCCTTTCTAGGTCAACGGGAAGTATGTAGGTATCGATTTTAATTTCCTTAAGAGTGTGTATAATTTATGGACCAAGTGATAAATTGAGTATTATACGTAATGCCCGAACATTATAAAAAATGCCCAACATGAGAAAACAAGATAATAATTATTCAAATAATCAAATTGACCGGGCGTTATTTATATTGTTCCTTACCTTTTGGTCAGAGTAATACAAACATATTTAATTAATAATTTTTAAATTTAATAATTTTTTTTATAATGGGCAAGTCTCAAGAGTGATCTTGACTTCGATCTAACCCAAGGACATAAATCAGATCACTTAAATTCATCTAAATGTTAAACAATTTAAATAATCAGTCTTATTATTTGAATTAACGAGCAAAGACTTCATACAATAAGAATCCAGTAGTTTATACATTTAAAACCTATGGAAAGTAACATTAAAAATAAAGGTAACACAAAACATATAAAATTAAAAACAAACATATCAAATCTATTCTATCGTGTGACCTACATGGCAAAATAACTTCTTTTATTTGATAATTATATTTGTCTGTTAAAAAAACACAAAACATCAATTTGCAGCCCAATTGCCATACAATAATAACCCTGCAACGTGATAAATAATGAAGTTTAGATAGAAATTAATCACTTAGCCGGATAGAGCTACACATTATTCATAATGCTCGCGCATTATTAATAATGCCCACATTAATCACTTGAACCGTAACATATATATTCGTTTGCGTTTCTATGTTTATTACAAACTCTGTAATGAATGTTCTTAAATTTTTCAAACATTACGCCTTATCCGCAATCGAGTTTAAAATGTCGTAGCATTCACTAATGTATACTGCAATTGTGTTCCGACTTGACAATAGTATGACTATTACAAACTCTATCAAATTAAATAATACTAAACTATGAGTCATAATACTAACACAGCGATTATAGACGCAAAACTGTACCATCACTGTTTTCATATCATCTATTTAATTTAAAAGTGAAGACAACACAAAAGAGGATGCAAAATAACGAGACGTGAGCAATGTGGCGTATCGTGCATAAAACGCCAACAGTCGTATTTACTTTATAAGTTAGTCACGATAAAATTAAAATCGCTTGCCATCCATAGGGAAGGCCTGTACCTGTGCAATGGGCACATGGCACATAATAGTATAGTGATGATAATGACATATGTCGGCGCTTAATAAGAAAGCTATACTTTTGGTTGTATTATACTTTTGGTATACCATTCAACTACACAGCGAAACGTATTTAGTCAAGTTGCTTGACAATACAGTTAGAAGACTTTCAGACATTTTACCCAAAGTAAACAATTGCATTACCGGCTATAATTTACGCGGTCGCGAAGTCGTGGAATCGAGGTACAAATCATGTATTTATAATTGATTTCAGTATAATTTCGTACTGGTTTTAATTTAAAATTATGTTACTGAATTTTGATGAAATACAATGTAGTTCAATTTTAGAGGTTGTAGTTTTTAGTCAAGAAATTTCTTACCGTTTCATTTAACCCAGTGAATTCAATTAGAAATATTATGTAGCAGTAAAAACACTCTTAATTACAGTCCTATTGATTTCATTTATTTGGTTCACGCTAAATTTGATATTAGTGATATGCACTAAGCGCCCTCTTAATAATCTAAATATATACCTACTGTAGAATAAAGTCCTCAATATTAGTTCATTGTACCTATCAATGCTGATAACACTGGGTTCATAATAAATACAGTATAATAGTAAAGCAGTAGTTAATACTTTACGAGCATCGTGTATTAT